CAAACTCGAGCAGAATAGACCAGCTGCAAAAAACAATAAAGCAAGTTAGAACAATTGGGAGCAGTGGAGCTCATGAAGCATTATTCGGACCATGATACAAAAAGTAAGGTAAATTCATTCAAAAATATTTCCAAAAATATAGGCTTGGCTTTATATTTTCTGAAATCTAATTGAAATAAAATTATTTCCATTTAGCGACTTAGCACTTTTTAAAAAAAAAATATATGAAATATTTTTAAGGTGCTAATGTCTTGACGTTAAAATGAAAATAACCATCTGACATTATACGTGTTTCGTCTTTTTTGTGCTACCCTCTTCTTAAAAAAAAAAAAATCTAGCAGATTTGAATAAAAAATATTTGGAGAATTTTCGAATTTTTTTAAATGTTTAAACATTAATAAATCGCGTATTATATTGTATTTTCCAACCCCTGGTAATGCACTTCTTACAGTGTATGCTTTTCATAGAGGTTGTATTACAGCTTCGGTAAGTTTGTAAGAAAGTATCAGAAACGGAAGAGATTCGTCCACCAAAATTTAAATCGGATTCAAGAAGATGAGGAGCTGGCTGGAAAAAATTACTTTTGAATGCAAATTTGTTCTCACAGTTTTAGAGATGTTTAAAGGAAATTTTGTAAGCACACAGGTTATTGTTTTAATAATTGTTGGTTTTAGAGCAGTGCAAATGCGTTATAAAAATCTCATGTTTACGTTAAAAATCGATTACTACCAAACACTTTCGAATTCAATCTAACCGCTAAATATATTGATATTAGTCAGTTAGTTATTTAAACGGCTTGCTCGATCACGGAACCTTGATCTCTTAATGATACCTACGTCGGCTCTGAGAAGAAGGGAGGAATCTTTTTCTTTCCAGATGCTCAAACCAGTTGGTGTATTTTACGAACTTTGGGAGATTAATGATAACTAGATATGCAATCTATGCTAAGCAATCGAAGAGAAAAAAAACGGACCAGTGAGTTTACCGAGATTATGACTATCCTTATACGGACATCTCATCCACCTCGCAGTACCCTCAGTCTCAATATGACTAGGCACCCCAACCACGGACAAAAATTTAATTAATTTATTCTTGTATTCAATATTATAGCATCTGCTTAGAGGATAATTTCCAAGTTCAAAAATTGTAAGTAGCAAGATGAAACATATCTTAGTAAACATGTTTAGTGTCAAAAACCTCGAACTGTAACTACCTTATAGAATTTTTGTATCCTGGTTGTAAGTATGTCTGTGCACAGACCTTTTTGTTTACTTTGCAATTAAGATTTTAAAAAATATATATGTTTACAGATCCACACCTACATATCTGTAAAAAAAAACGTGAAAGGTGCAACATATAAATAAATTAAATATGTAATTTCAATGCCAAGTTTATTCGTCAAACTAAAAAATATAGTGCATTGCCAAGTTCCCATTCAGGCGGCATTGAGGTAAACTGCTTGTGTGATACACACGCATAAACACTTATGCACATCCAAAGGCGTACTTTAAAAAATCAACTTTATGCAATGAAAGTATATACTTATGTAAGCACAAGTGTATGTACTTACATACATATGTATGTAAAAAGAGAATTCAGGTTCATGACATTTTTTTCATTTAAGTCTCACTTGCAGTTCTAGTTTTTCGCATCTCTTTTACCAGATAATTTTAAAGAAAGCAACGTGTGAAACTAAGAAAACGAGAGCGAAAGTGAATAGCAAAAGGAGAAGAAAAAGAATAAAATATGGAATATTTTTCCTTTAATAAAAATGAATGAAATAATAAATATAACCTGAAGACTTGTACGTATCACGCTGAAAAAAGTCATTGCGCTTTGTTCATATAGCCCATGCTCATTTCTGTACATACATACATATGTACATATATTTATATATACACAGCTATGTCCATACATATTTTCACATATGTAACATATGTACATGTATGTATTTACATACATATGTATGTAAATGTGTTTGAATATATAATTTAGAGTTTACTGCCACTCTCGAAGCAGCTTGCAAGTTCGCTAGCTCCGTGGAAACACCTCGCAGCATCTTACAGAATCTGCCACTAACACACGAAATTTGTTCACTCTCTTTTTATTCATTTTATTCTACAATATTACACGACAATGTTAGCATTATATAAACACATATCTACAAATATACGAATATACGAGTACTTAAATATGAACTTATCTACATATTAGCAATGCATGTAGATTTGTATGTTTATGTTATATGTTTAAAGTCCACAGACACTCATACCATTGTACACACTTGCGACATGTGAGTTTTAGTCGATCTCTGCGCTCATGCGCGACTTCTTCCCCTTCATACATACATATGTATGTACACGTATATGTAAACTTACATATGTATGTATATACATATGTACGTGTATGTGGACGTGTGGGTAAAAGGTGGATCATATGTGAACACCTATCACACAGCTATGCCAGATATCCTGCTTACACACACATTGACACTTACATATATACCTATACCTGATACTGGAAACATTCGTTTATATATTATCACATATGCCCGTTTTACCGGCAAGTACAGTTGCTGTTAAGGGTGGTTGAAAACCTCATGTAGGCGTGGCTTCACATATGAGTATATGCAGAGAAACTCGAATAATTCGCTCAAAACTAATGGGTATATTTTCGAATGTGTTCCGGAGAGTTTAGTGTTTAACAAACACTCTCCACTGAATTACTGGATTTGTCTTCACTAAGTTGAGAAGCGGTGGGTGTCCCAACTACAAGTGAGTTTTTATTGTTTTTTGCCTACACTGGTGGCAAAAAATATTATATATTAGGCTATATATTGAAAAACAAAACTCGTCTAATAATGCTTGATACCAATAAAGAATGAGCGAATATCCATAATCACTCCGCAGAGGTTAAATAACTTAGAATGAGTTTTCTATTCAAAGAATATGCGGCAACATGGCTAAAACTTATGCAAGTCTTCAACATCCCCTTTCAACCAACCAAACCATGCCTATCCAAACAAAAACTGTCATTTCTACGCACCGGAGTTGACCCATATTTTAACCGGCCAAGGGTACGCCAACGGAGCAAATCCTTCTTATCAGGGCAGTCGTTGAAATCATCCCTGGTCCGACGGACTATTTCTGCTGCGTGTGCCAGACTGCACCACTCCTCCAACTCGGTAAAGTGCACCAGTGCAATGGTTGGAGTCATCTTAAGGCCTGCCCAGACCTTGAGGTCCATAGGGAGTGGAGCACAAGTTGTGTGGCCCTATGCTTCCACGGCAAGGGGGGGGGCTTAACGTTCATCCTGCACAGCACCGTGCATTATCGTCTGATCGACAGCTTATCCAGCCAACAAAGGAGAGTCCTATCGGCCGATAACTCTCCTCTCCCCAGTAGCGAAGACACTTAAGGCCTTACTGCTCCCGACCTTCACTCACCATCTGCGTCCAGCAGCGCATCAGCGTGGCTTCCGAAAAGTGCACAGTACCATAATAGCACTTAACGCCATAAACACCCAGATAGCCCATGGCCTTAACCAAAACCGAACCTGTGCGCGAACTGTCCTAGTAGCACTGGACTTGTCAAAAGCTTTTGACACAGTCAATCACTCAGTGCTTCTAACGGACATTGAGAAATCGTCATTACCGCCGGGGTTGCAGAGGTGGGTCATGGGCTACCTGAGTGGTCGACAGTCATCGGTAATTTTCCGAGGTGTAACATCTAAACCCATAAAAATTAAACAGGGGGTTCCGCAGGGTGGTGTCCTCTCCCCGCTACTGTTTAACTTTTATATCTCGAAACTCCCTCCACCACCAGAAGGAGTTTCCCTAACCTCTTATGCCGATGATTGTACGATAATGGCGTCTGGCCAGGATATTGATTACCTCTGTTCGATAGTGAACGACTGCCTCGCTCTCTCCTACTTCTTCACTGCAAGACAGCTAAAAAACCAACCGACGAAATCCTCGGCTACCCTCTTCACAAGCTGGACGAAGGAGTACAGGCTTGAACTAGATGTGAAGGTCGATGACACAAGAATTCCGACGGTAAATAACCCAAAAATATTGGGAGTAACCCTAGACAGCCTGCACTCCTTCACTCCGCATACGACCGCAATTGCCGCGAAACTCCACAGCCGCAACAAAATACTCAAAGCGCTAGCCGGCAGCACCTGGAGTAAAGACAAGGAAACTTTGCTGGCTACTTATAAAGCAATTGGCCGGCCGGTCGTAAACTATGCCGCACCGAGGACGAACGAGACGCAGATGAAGAAGTTACAGGCTTGCCAGAACACCGCCCTCGGTACCGCGACAGGAAACCTCCTGATGTCGCCGGAGCATCACTTGCACAGGGAAGTATCTATGCTACGAGTTAAGGAGCATATTTGCTGTGCAAGCAGTTCCTGTTGGGATGCTACCACAGGGAGTAATAGAGGCTGAACCTCCACCTAGGCACATCAGAAAGGGAGTACTAGACCTAAAGGACACAATCCAGCAACACGTACAACAACCGCTGGACAGGACGGCGTACCGACAAGCACTGAACGCTATTCACCAGGAGTCAGTCAACACTTTCAAGGACTCCCTTCCAGTGAATGCCGTACTCGGAGAAATACCACCACCCATAGCAGACAACGAGCTCGAACTGCCTCGAGAGACCCGCGTGACCCTGACACAACTCAGGTCTGGATACTGTAGCAGGTTAAACTCCTACTTATCCAGACTAGACCCCAGCATACCCAACCTATGCCCTGCGTGTGGAGAATCTCCGCACGACACTAACCACTTCTACACATTCCCTCTCAAACCAACTCATCTATCCCCCCTCTCCTTCTAGTCCAACCCCGTCGAAACAGCTCGTTTAATGGACCTCTAACTATATGACCTCGGCGACTTAGATTAATTAAACCGGTCCCTAAGCGGGCTTAGCGAACCGCTACAACAACAACAACAAAAACTGGCCTTTACTTCGGCGTTATAAACAACAACACTCTTTCCGCAGCAATGCACAATGCATTAGAACAGTGTACATATATTTTTGAATGTTAAATTGTTTGTAATACATATGCTTATATACTTATGTATATAAGAAAATATTACTTAAGTCATACACGGAAATAGAAAATATTATATATATACATATAGTTAAATTTAGGCACATACGTATATCATACATTTTAATTTTAGTTTCGTTGTTCACTGGTAAGTGTTTATATCTAAAATAACTTATCCAATAAATTATCTAACCGTTATCCCAAAGAAGGAAGTATTTACGACTTGCTAGTAGCTGCAATGGCAAGAGGGCCACAATACAAATCCTGAAATCTTGTTCAGAAATAATATAATTTACTTTATAAGATTATTAGTGGGTTACAAATAATGGCACTTTTTAAAAGTAATAAAAAGATAAGTACTTTTTAATCTACACAGTATATAACAATTATTTCTAGATAGTACTCATTAACCAGAAATTAGAATTATGTTTATACTGTTATTTTTATCACAGTCTTATTGTTACACAGTTTGAGGCAAGATTGTCAAAAGTTCAGTTATAGTATTGTTTCATCCCCACAACATTCAAAATACGTTTGCTGTGGTCTTATATAATAACGGTTTTTGTGTAAATGCTTTTGATTTTGGATATTTTGTGCAATAACCTTATTGTGAGAGTACTTCGTTAATTGGTTCATTGAAATACTGCCTGAAGCGCGTCGCTGTGAATATGAACTTGCTGGTGCACGCACCGTTTGGTAAGATGTCGTACTATAATTACAGTTAAGGCTTTTATTACGATTATTTCCTTGTGAAACTGTTGTTTCTTTTACATTCCTCAGAACCAGTTGCTGTTTGTACATCATAGATATTTTTGGGCCTAAAAGCCATGCAAAACAGATAATTCCCAATAATATTTCCATAAAGGCTCGCGTCAGGAAAGGCCACATTGGTGTTGTGAAACCCTCAGTGGCAACCAAATAGGGAGGAATATTAAGCCAAATATCAATATTTGCAAACTCATAGATTACGGAAATTAAGAGTAACGCGCATGGAACACAGTATATGAACAAAAATGTACCAAAATCGTAACTTGGACACTTAGTCCGAAAATGTTGCTTCATCATAGGTGAAGAAGTACTTTTCAATATAGCTTTATATCTACGATACACCAGATACCCTGAACCTAAGTTCATTGAACCGAAAATCCAGTAACAAAACAGTGGAGTTGCGACTAATATTTGCAGCCCTTTGTCCGATTGGTTTCCCACGAAACAAGAACCTATAGCATAAAATAAAAATAAATTATTCAGAATAAGAGGAATAAAAGAATAATATACCTATAAGCTCATCGGCATCCACAAGTCTTGCTACTATTACTGCGGCAGTCTGAAATGCTGGAAGGCCCCAAGCCATAAAGCTTGCCAGATTGCTTTGCATTATTGACAGGTTTTCATCACGTTTATTATTATTAGTTAGGTGTCCCCTTCTAGCTGTACTATTATTCAAGTTAGTAAATGTAGTTGAAGATTCTGTCGAAAAACATTCCAAATCTTCTGGGTCGATCCGTCGAACATCCCGATGCCACGTAAGACAAAGTATTGCCCACCTTAAATATTTTACATTTATGTGTGTTTATATGTGCAGTTATGTGCAGTAAAATTTTAAACGAAAAAATATTCAAATAAATTTACCATGCGCACGAAGCCATAAAAAAGTAATATCGGAGCAAAAAAGTTGTAGCACAAGCTGCATTTGAGAGTCCGTCAACTATTAAGAGCAAGACATTGGGTAGTTGAGGATCATAACCGCATGACGTTGCTGTTCTTCCAACTATGAAACGAATAGTCCATCCTAAAGCTACCATGAAATTACACCACACAAAGGGGGTAAGAACACGTGCCAACTTTTGATTATTATTCCTCTTCGAGTTATCGCTAAGTACTAAGCTCAGTATTGCAATCAGTGCCAAAAAAATGTCTGCATATGTCCACGCAGCTACCCATAACTCTGCCAAATGTTTTTCATGTTGACCGAATAATATATCAGCTTCACATAAGGGTGCACATCGTCCAGATCGATGTAATTTTACGTACATGTGGGATTTTGATAGCCCAGGGCATTCTAATGTGGTTGTTATAGAAGGCACTTTGTTTATTGTGGCACCACCGAAGTTTTCGTGTTCCATGTTTGATTGTGTCTCCCCTGGCCCTTCAATACACATTGTTTCATGATTATTCTCTTTAGGAAATCTATTACAATCTAAGGCTGGAGGCCAAGGAAATCCAAAGCCTTGTAATACGGGGTGGCACCTCATTCTCACGCTTTCGCATAAGCTTCTACATGGCCCAATCGGAACAGGGACCTTAGGCGTGCATAAGGGCACATAAGCTGCACATAGGAATAATTTAAGCTGCGTACTGCAAACATATTCAATCAGAGGTGCAAAAGTTTGTAAAGTGTATTCAACATCTGACTGAAGCTCATGACCAACTAAATTTGGCATAGATGTCTCATTATAACCAATACCGCGACACATATCGATTCGAATTGATTCGCAATGTCGCAACGGCGATGATTCTCCATTTGAAGAGTAAACTACTACGCTAGATATGAGTAGCATTTTCCAGTAACATACTTCGGAGCCCATTATGACGTTGAAATCAACACAATTTTATTTAGGACAACTTTAATTTATGTTATTCATGATTTTTCAAAGAAAAATACCGCAAATGAAGACAGCGATGGTTGAGCTCAATCTCCATAAGTAGTTATGTGTTGTATACAATCTATTTAGAAATTATGAATAAGGTTAAATTGCTTTATATATATATATATAATATATTATTCCTTTAAATGCATCTAGAAAGTTTTTTTTTAAAGATAAGACAGAACTGAAAATCAAATATTTTATGCACAGCACAATTGGACACTTTTTGTTAATACACCAAAAATTAATATGATATGAATAATGGTCGTGAAAGATATGAAAGATACACATAAAGATGTGTTGGGCTATTACATTGATCGATACACCTCCTGAACATGGGAAAGCAAAATAATCGTTAAGTGAATACACTGTTGCATGAAAAACTTTATTATAACGATTTTGCTAAATACGCCTCGATGAATTACCAAATCCTTCGGTTAAGATCACAGGATTGTTAAATATTGTAAATTTCACAAAATTTGTTGTACAATTTCTTAATTTTTAAGGATTCAATCAAAGTCTTATTATTCTTAAATAAATTACCAGTTGCTATACTATACACAGACAGTACTATTCTCACTTTACACCGATGTTGTCAACAACAAGTTCACTTTGTAACTGCCTCTCCAGTGCTTTGGCCGCTCTCTTCTATCCTAATTGTCAGTGTTGTAATTGTTGTTGTAAACGCAATGGACGGATATAAATGCGAGTAGTTCCGGTATAGAGACCCGACGGTGGGAGAACTATTGGAATTTAGTCCCCTTTAGTAAATTCTTGTGCCCCAAACCCTCAGAGGAAAATTGATGGTGCTCGTACTCAGGGATGCCTCTTATGCCATATACTGAATATTCGTTACTCGTGCTCTATAATATGCTTTACTTATCGGCATCTTCTTTACAACTGTCTTTCGCACTATACTATTGCCACATCTGTTTCAAATACCACATACCTTTTTAAGTGGACCACTTTAATTTTATTTGTTGGTTCATCCGTCACTACACCATGTAACTTGGCCGTTTTATAAATTTAGGCACTTCTTAGATTCATTGTCAAGAAGGCGATGGTAAATAATTACATAAGAAAGAGAAATGTAGTAGAAGCGTACTTTTAATAGGATAAGCAACCCTACCGCAATCAGCTTGTGGGCAATTGCCACCGAACACTTATGCTGCTACTACCCAACGCGCGTACCAGCCGTCCACAGTAACCTATCTTATGAGAGCGCCATGTAAACACAAAGTTGTCACCGCTTGCCCTTGCCGTTATTAAGGTTGTCCCGTAGAAACCAACGGCGATTTGATTTTTTCCGTAAACCGGCTCGGCTCATTTTTCGTTGCTATACAAGGTTGCCAGTATAATCTTTCTTCAAGTAACATTAAATAATCGAAGAAAATGCGTAGCTTTTTTGAAAGAAATGATCATGGATATTTGTCTTGCGTTCATATTCAAGGATATAAATTATGAAATTCGTTGACGAAAATTATGAATTCGTTCAAAAGTGTGCAAACCCACTAGCAGCTGACAACATTTCGCCGCTCTCAGCAGCGTCGATAACTCGTGTATGTATCTTGCCTTGACGTCGCAAGTTATGGACGGCTGGTACGAGAAATGGGTAGTTGCAGCCTATGGGTCTTCATTTTGTCGTGACCTTGAATTGACCTGAATTTCGATTTCGACTTTGAAGATCAAAAACAAATATTCTCGAAAATTTTAGAACTTTATTATTACACGTTCTCTGACTGGTCCGCAATTAAACCTTCTCATTATTATACGCTCTCTGATATCCTCGATTTAGAATCAGCAAGAATGCTGAAGGAAGATTCGGCTCGGACTTTCAAAATATGAGTAGTAATACATGCAAAACTTCAGAATTCCGCCTGAGCAGTTCGGAAATCATTATTATCATTCCGAATATAATGCAAATTACATTGATTATTTACTTTCGTTAAAAAAAAAAAAACAATTGTTGATATATATATTTTTCGAAGTTCGCACGGGTTACCCAGGAGACACTAATTGTGAAGATGCATAAATTGTATTATCGCCATCTTGGTTTTCAAGGCTTAGTTAAAATATGTGATATGGACCGGAGCGTGCCGATTGCCATTTGATCCACATACGGGATTGCCAATAGACTATTTCACCTCTATACGATATTAGTAAGAGACCATTTCACCGTCATTTAACAGGGAACTGCCAGAGACTTACAAATTATTTACAGAAGAATGATATTTGAGAGATAATTATTTTATTTATTTTATAAATTTTATTAATTTATTGTTATTTTGCTCAGAAATGTTGACAAACATAGTCAATTTCTGGTGGGAGTGGTGAAATAGCCTGTTATTTATTTCGTCGATTCTCGCAGTTAACATGCTGTCCGTAACCGGTCCTTCCTTTTATTTGACGTTCTCTGGAATGGGTTAAAATAATCGTAACTATTTCCCTACTTTTAAATGGGTTAAAACAATCGAAACTATTGTTCCTTCTTCTGTAGCGCGCAAAATATGTAAACAATTTTTATTTATATTAATTTGGTTAAATTTATGATAATACGTCTTATACTTACGATTTCAAAATGCCTTTTGCTAGTTTTAAGTCCGTTCGCGAAGTTAGCAGCGAAGACATTGTAAGTATCGTCAATGTTTTAAATTTATCTAAGTGTAATAAATGTGAATTTTATTAGAACTGCCCTGCAGAAAATTTAATAAAATCAACCGGCAAAAAGTGGAAAACTAAAGCATGCGGTGAGAGACTTGGATTTGTGGTTCTCGAGCTTAGTGAGCCTTCTAAAATTACAGGAATTGATATTGGAAATGAGCATTCTGCTTTCATAGAAGTATTGGTTAGTAACACAAGCTGCAGTCCAAATGATTTTACTGTGAGTTATATTTTGAAAAATGGTATTTCGTTAAATATTAAAATTGTTTATATTACTAATTTTTATTTACAGGAAATTTTGGTGACATGCTCCTTTATGACTCTTATAGAGAGTAAAAACTCTACTAACATCAACCGAGTACGTTGTTTCAGTCCCGACGCATTAATATCAACTACATTGTCTAAAAAATGGCAATTTATTAAAATAATATGCAGTCAACCATTCAACAAACACGTACAATATGGGATTTCTTTCATTAAAATACATGTTGACTCTAATGTTGATATAAAAAAAATACCACAAGTTAGCGAAAAACTTCATTCCAAGGTTGAAAACCCGTCTTCTCTAAACATTTCTCAATTGGGAAAATTTAAGTTACGCGAAGAATCTCCAGATTCCGATTCTGAAAGTTCGGCATCGCTATTTAAAAGATGGAAAGCTTCCGAAATGAACAGTGGTATGGATGCTTCACAAGTTAGTGAAAAAGCAAATAAGGGAAAGTTGTTTATTTCAGAGACACACAGTTTAAAAAATACAACGGAAATCTTGCAAAAGCCCATCGAAACCGAAAAATTAACATTGAAAACTGTACAGAAACTTTCTAATAATTACGACTTAATGCTCTCAACGGACCGCAATCGTCGAGAGCTTGCTTTTGGCAACGAAGAAAATAACGATGACGAAAGAATTTATAAAAAAAGACAGAGATTATCAGAAGCTATCGAACTGGAGCGTGAACAACTTCGGAAGAGAAATGAATCTAGCACTTCTAAAGACAATAAAAAAGAATTGAAAAGAGCGGGAAAAATAGATGAAAACAAAAAACTTACAAATTATGACAAAGCGAAAAATGATCCAACTAAGCAAAAGATCAATAAAGAAGAAAAGAAATGTGATATAAGAGGAAAAATTTTTCGACCATTTGATGAGTTACTTAAAGGAACTGTTTTAGTAATAAGCGGAATACAGGTATATTTTTTAATATTTATATTTTTTGTATTAACTATTATGGTTATCAATGGTATGCATTTGCACTAACCGTACGTCTTAATTCTTAGTAGAATCCAGAGCGATCTAATCTTCGGGATAAGGCTTTATCAATGGGAGCTAAGTACAGAGCTGATTGGGGAAATGGTTGCACACACTTAATGTAGGAAATGTAATAGTTATCAGTAGAGTCCCTAAGGTGAAATAATTTTACTTTTTCCAGATGCGCATTTAAGAATACACCAAAATATAATCAGGTAAGGGGAAAGGGAAAAATTGTTACACGCGCTTGGATTGAAGATTGTCACAAACAAAAGAAATATTTACCATGGCGTAGATATGCTTTGGATAGCAATGACCTAACGCAACCTGAAAGCGAGGACGAGGTGCTGGACGAATCACTTCGACCCGCTCAGCCATCCTCTGATTCGAATGTAACAAAAAACTCTATCGCTAATGCTGCAAGGGAAATTTCCACAGTTTCTTCAGGAAGTGACACCGATGATGATATTCAACGTGTTTTGGAGAATAATGCAAATAAAAGTAACTATCTTTATACAACATAAAAAGAAAATTTTTCATTATATATTTCTTTATTAATATATTTTTTCTCTTCTTTCTTGTGTAGATAAAGAAAAGCAAGGAACTGTTTCACATAGTAAAACCGTTTTTGATTTATCTACAGAGGAAGAAGTCTATCTCACAGCAAAAACAAAACTCGATGCAAATATGAAAAGTCTGTTCAATGGCTTAATCTTTTTTATTTGCAGTGATATAAGGTCTGCTGAAAGAAAAAGAATTGAAAATATAATTAAACTAAATCAGGGATTGATTACCCTTTGCCCGAAAGAAGCCGAACTTTTCATTTCTATTGGAGAAGCGATAGAGAGTAAGACAAAAAATGGAAAAGTTATAAAGCCTGATTGGATATATGAGAGCATCGATATGGAAATGAAAGTGCCCCTCGAGAAATACCTTCTGTAAATAAAATATATTGTTTTTATTACTTTTTTGTATAATATTTAACCATAAAATATATGAAGTTTATACTACAAACACAATTTAAGCCAAAAAATGAAACAGAATTGCTTATTCATCGGAATTTGAAATCAATTTATGTTTGAAATGGTGTTAGGAAACCGACTAGATTTTGATTTTTTCAAAGATAAGCAAAACCGATATTCGAATCAGCTGTCATCACACCTGTGCAAAAAACACAGCAATTCAATTTTTTACTGGTGTTAACACATGTGTGATTATTAACTAAAAATAAAAGGACTTAGGCAGTGATAGGATTTTTTGCGATAGAAGCAATTGGAAAACCGTCCATAAATACTGCGCAAAATTGTAAGGGTAAGAGCAATCCGATGGAGCTGCCAGCTCGATGTAAGTGCAATTTGCAGTCTACTTTTACATTTGCTGATAGAAAATTTGTTTCTATGTAGATTTACATCGTCTTAACAAAGAAGCCTTTGTAATAGTGATGGATGTCATTGAATACAAGCTATATATGGGTTCAATTCCGACATTTAAACCGATAAATCGGTTTCTGTAACACCTAAAAACGACACAAATTTCAAATGAAACCTCTATGCAAATCAATAATCGGAATTTGTAACCCCTCCAACAAAATTTTGTCGGTTTCACTTCTGATGCTAACAATCTGTTTATGTAAAACCCCTGAATATCTGCAGCTGACTCTGGGTATATTTCGGATGCTTGTCTCTTAGTTTTATTTTTTTTCAGTACAATAATTCGCAATCGAAATCGGTTTTTCGGAGATTGTTAGTGTGACGAATGTCGAGCTGCAAGTAAGCAACGATACTTTGTTTGCCGTAATCTTCGTATTTCATAATTCTGCCTGCTTTGAGGACCGCTAAGTCTGAGTTTACGTGAGGATACTTTGGTCGCTAATTATCGTAATTTTCTTTTTTGTGTCGCCCTTCACGTTTACTTTCTTCAAGCAATTTTTTCGACATTTGTTTCCTTTTTTTAATTCTTTTTCTATTCCGCTTTATTTTACACTCGCAATTTTTCGTGTGCTTTGCGCTTTTTCTAAAAAAAACACTATGTTTGTGTAAAAGAAAACGCAGCTTTTATTTATCTACTTCCTTTATGTATTGTTTTTTTTTTTTTTGATTAAACATCAACTCTACCCTTCTCAAAGTATAATCTTATTACATATCTTATCTTTTTCGCTATCATCAGAATCAATCCCAAAGGCTTATTCTATCCATTCTAATATTTCTTGCATTAATTAACTATATTTGCAAACTCCATTGTCTGAAAAATTAGTATGTAGAATCAAGAATTTACCCGTGGTAAGGAATGCCTGTCGTAAGAGGCGATCAAAATCCAATAGTTCCCGCGACAGTCGGGTCTTTATACCGGAACGACCCGAATTTTTATTCGGCCAAGGACTGTCACTCCCGCAATATTCCCCGAAAACCGATTCGGGGAATAACTTGCGGTTACAACATATCTATGTTTGCATGAACATATAAATATTGTAGTAAAAACCAAAATTTCAATTTCCAAGCTTACAACATTAATTCGTTTGAAATTTAAGACAGCTACAATCTTTTGCTATCGTTTTCTAAAGCCGATAACAGAAGCAACGGTTTTGACATTTCCAACTTTGACAGCAAGGCAAGTGCTAATACATCTTTCATTCTTTCCTTCAATTGATTTACTTTCTGATATAAATTTATTACATTATTGAACTTATTTCAAAGTCTTTCATTTCAGTTCTTTGAAACTAGCGGTATATATAGGAAAATAAATGGCGACGTTGATTCTATGGAAAATTTCATTTCATTTCAAATGGCATAAGGCATAAATTTATTAACACCGCAGGGTCGATAACGCATTAAGCTTCCTAAGATTAATGAATGAAATTTTATAATTTTTAACTTTATTTTATCCTTATTAATTTTACTAATTGCGATCTAAATAATACGTTCACGTGGTTGTCTCTTTCCTCAATACAACCATTTAATTTAAAAAATCTCTTTAAACAAGCAATTTACATCCATTCTGTAGGTTTCTAACTAGAAATTTGTCAGAATTTTCCAATCGGAGTTTTACAATAAATCAAAATACATTCCGATAAATTAAATCCGTTCGAAGTCGAATTTCAAACTGCTCTAAATTAGTTTTTAATGTCAAAATATTCGTCATAGAAATATTTGTCATTGGCAGCCCATTACGAATTTAGTCCATGAGAAATAGTTTTTGGGATTTCGCACGTTCTTTTACACAAACAAAATACATTGAACGATTTTCGTTTTTGTCTTTTCGAAACTTTAATTACACAAACAAAATTTATAGGTTTTTTGCGTGTGAATTCGTCTTATTTGGCAGCCCTGGGTTGAGTTGTCAAATGATTTTTGTATACTTTACAAAGAGTTTTTAGGCGTAGCTACCGCCAGGAGTTATATATTAGTTATCAATTAAAACCAAAAGAATAGTTGCGAGATTTGTATTCTAATTACCAGGCTTAAGTGTTTTCATGTGTGACATTTAAGTTTATGAATTTACCGGACAGTACTGCAACGGAAATTGTAAACAAAATTGTAAAAATGCCGCCTCAGAGGTATACTCATGCAATCGTAGCAAGGTGAGGGATTTATACGAGTAGTTATTTAGATCACCGTAATAATTATTAATATTTTATTTACTGAGTATACACGATACTTACATTCATTTTTTATCACCTAGTTTCATTTAATTAAATTCGTTTGATAAAATCTAGCAAAAAATCAAATATTTGAATGTTTAACAACAACAACATTTAATTGTTAGCTAATTCGTATTCATTGTGGTTTTAAATACTATATAATATACTTCAATTAATTTAATTGTACTTTTTGTAATAGTATAGTAATGTTCGATTGAGGTATGTACTTTTTGTATAAAGTATGTTCGGTAGTTAAGTTCGAATCTTTGAGGTCAATTACTGGTAATAACATGAATCACAGAAAAGATATATATTTATAACATTAGAAAACATAGAAATTTTATTAACATAAGTAGGTTCGCCTCTATTTATAAAAATAAATCTTGTAACTAACTAAGTTATTATTACATATTTGTACCATGAATGCTTTATATACATACATTTATACCATATCACTTTCATTCGGCTTCGTAGGATTTCAGAGTCCCTTAAAAGCTCTGGTGAATTTAATTATACTGTAGCTAAAAAGCAACACCATGATTTCTGTGCATTATTACGAGATGTTGGATTAGATGTAATAGAGTTGCCTCCTGATGACATGCTTCCGGAAGGAGTTTTTGTAGAAAATGCGGCAGTCATTTGCAATGGAGTAGCTTTGATTAGTAGATCAGACAATTTGTTGCGCCAAAGAGAGGTAGATATTTGATCAAGGTTATGTCTATACTATATACATTCAAACATTCAGAAATCAATTTAAAGTCGTAAAATGTTTGGTTTTTAGGCCGATAGTATGGAAATAATACTAAAGAAAGAGCTTGATATCCCGGTTGTTAACCCCAACATTTCTAATGCTTTATTAGATGGAGGTGATGTTTTATTTACTGGTAAGTTTACTAATTGAGAATGTATGTATTATCGGATATCGTATAAATTATTTTTCACTGATTATTAATACTGATACGAAGCTTATTTCCATCTTGTAATTTATTCTTAGGTCGGGAATTTTTCGTGGGTATATCCAATTATACTAACGAAGATGGCGCTAAGACTGTTGCTGTTGCATTTCCAGAATATCCTGTGACGCCTATCAAGGTACATGTAGGATTAGAGCAAAGGGTGATCAGTGTAGGCTTCATGCAAAAATATACATCAATTTCACACTTTCACGATATTATAATATATTAATGCTCTTTTGTTTAATGTACACTAAATAGGTGCTACGATTTCCAGGAAAGTAAATTTATCAACTTTATAATATATTATTTTAGGTTAATGGAAACAAGCGCCTAAAATATTATGTTACAATGGCTGGACCAGATGTATTATCAGTAAGTACAAGTATTTACTGCCAGGAAATTGTAAAACGTATGGAAAGAGAAGCCAGTTTTAAGTATCAAAAAATTACTTTGCCAGAAGAACATGCAGCAAATATGCTATACGTTAATGGTATACTCATACATCGCTCTCCAAATGAAATACCTGCTTCCTATAAGGTACAATACATCAGAATAAAATAATATTTGTAAACAGATAATAACTTTTAAGTTAATTATTTTACAGGTTATTAAGGAAAAAATTGACACACCTAGCCGTAATATAGATATTAGCGAGTTTGGCAAGTTCGCGAGTGGTTTAACTTCGAGTTGTTTGCTTTTGCGCCGGTGGAAATCTATAAGGAATATCTAGATTCGATAGTAATTCAACGGAAATATTAGTGCAAAGTTTCATAGATAAAATCTTTCCGCCAATAGTGGTTTAAATAAATATACACACAACTGTGACATACCTATTCAAATTAGGCTATTTATATATTTGCTAGAAGTGTTAAGTTATTAATTAGATCAAATGTATTTAGAGATACATACATAGTTACATATGTAGATATGATATCAAAAGTTGTTACAAAAATCATAAATTTAATTTCATCACATTAGTAAAAATTTAGATTATACTTACGCAACTAAAACACGACTTTTTTATTTAAAGGAATTTTATACCGCTTATTATAGCAACGCAGTGATTGTTAACAAAACTACCGCTGTCATGGTCAATAAATAATTCAGACAAGAAAGATGAAAACGATTTTGTCTGCCATAGTAACTATTTCGAACAAATAATAAAGTTTACAGCGTTGTACATACATACATATCGGTAAAGCACGTGATTTCCAAAGTAGCTAAAACGTCTATCCTTCAGATTTTCCTTATTCAAAGAAATATCTTTTTGGGCTTTCTGTGTACATACCTCTAGCCTTAACTGCCACAGAGTCGTAACCGATCAACAACCCACATCATATGCATCATCACCGTTAAAAAGTTTTTAAAGTGCAAAATTTGCATTAGCTCTTTATATACTTCTTTTGTGAAAAGATATGTATATGATAATAATTGTAAAATTTAGAAGTGCTGAATGTTTTTAATGAATAAGTCTGATTTAAGTCGATTAAACTTCATTAGCACGCCTTAAAAATATTTTTTCCTTTATTGATTTCATCAGATATTGTTCCTTGAAATGCACCAGTCAGATAAATACGAGATAACTTCGTTGTGCAGGACTTTCTTTTGTGAAGATTGACTCGGTATGACGAAAAGAAGGAAATTAAAATGTTTTCCCTACAACTAAAGCTTGAGTGTTAGTAAAATATTATTTTCAGGAGTAAAACGCAGAGTGATTGTAACCACTATATGATTAAATTCAGAATTAAAAAACCATGTTATATTGTCTAGTATCCAAGTAGTTCAAATTGTCATGAATAATGAACGCAATGATTTCATGTAAACTGTTTTTTATTCAATGAAACTATTTGTATAGGTAAATATAACTATGTCTATTATACTACGTTTTTAATGTTTTACTCGTAGTAATCTTTCTCGATGATGTTACTATATTTTTACAAATCTTCTGTTCTCTTGTTTTCTTATTCTAAGTTTTATGTAATCGCAATTTGCTGTTTTTTCATGTTGTCTAAAAAGGAACAAAAACAAAATACATCTTTATAATTATTTACTAATGCACGAGATGTTATGCAGTCTGTATATAAACGTTTATTTGTATACATGAAATTAAGCTAGGTATGTAAGTTCATACTTGTATATTTGAATTCTCTCTATTAAAAGTTAAACTTCATTGCAGGTGCCTATTTAAAACTCATGTTCATATAATATATAAAATAGAATTTGTCAGTTAACGATCAATACGACAAGCCTTAATCTTGGATATCATAACGCAAACTGCACCTAAGTCTCCTTTTTTTCACGAAGACAAAACAATATATATTATATTCGAAAAATTATAATAAATATACATGACGTAATTTCTATGGAAATCAATTTGCACAGAGATGGTTATATAACTAATAAAATGCCAATGGATTTTGATTTATTTTCTCATATTTATGTAATACATTCTTATACTTTTAAAGTTTTATCGTAAAATTCTAATTTTTTTTTAGCAAATGTAGGCACCCTAAATATTAAAGCTTTTGCAAAACACTTTTACCTAATATAGAATAACAATATTTCCATTTTTACTTAATTCTATTTTAGTTTACTTTCAACATTTAGCTTTTCTTTAGATTACGATTTTTTTTAATTAACCATTTTTGTTTAACAATCTTTGTTTAGTTTCTTTATTTAATTTGCAGAATTATATAGGTTGCACTGTTCAAGTCCTTTCGTGTATATCTTAAAAGTTTATTACTTCATTACTTTTTTTTACTACAGACTTAGTTTATATTTAGTTAATTTCAATATAATGATTCACTATATCTAAATATATAAATGTAAATTGTTAGCTGGAATTTAAAGAAAAAATTACATTCGGTTTATCAGCAATCGGGGAATCGGTTATTTTTCATTTCCATTTACATATATACTTGTAGTTAATTTGTCTTTTATCATAATTAAAAATATGTATACATACCTAAATATGCAAACCATAGAGGCATAGATCCCGCCCAAATTCAATTTACTACTTTTTTACTTGAATAACGGCATGAACAAAACATAATATTTTCGTATAACAGAAAGCCAACATGAACTTTCATATTTTGTAATTTAAAATTAATTCATATTCGAGTACAGTTCAGTCAGTTTCTAAAAACAGTGACTACTTTCTGCGGAAATGTGCAATATGTGGAAAGAAGCTCAAATAATAAAGCACTAGATAGTTACGTTAAAAATTATTAGAGCCCGAATCAGCAAATAACTTTTGGTGCAACGATTTTTTAAACTCTGCATAATTATATATATTATACATGTACGTACATATGTTTGCGCCAGCACGTTTAAAATATAACTTCTGTTCTTTTATTTCTGTTATAATCAAAAAATATATACATGTATCTCGACATATTTTACTAGAATTGAAAATAATCATATAATAATTAATCAAACTTTTTCGAATAAAAATAAGATTTGTATTATATTTTTTTCCATTTCAGTTTGCACACAGTTTTACATAAATCAATAAGTTTCTTCAAAACTAGGACGGTTAACTTAGTTTTCAAAATTTATAAACCAATTTGCGAAATATTTTCTGTAATAAAAACTGGCGTGATAAATTACTTGATTGACTTTCTATTTTGGTATACAGATAGTCAGTTTTTGCTCAAACATTTTTACATTTTTAATAAAATTTAGTTGTTATCGCAAATCAATTGATTAAAAAATCTTTAATAACTTTACTGACATTTTTTGAATTTTTCGTAATTACTTTTTATAATAAAAATGTAGTAAATTCGACATTTAATTTTTTGTGGAAATATAACCGAGACTTATAAAAAATCTGTAGTTCGGGTTTTGACTATTTGGTAAACATGTTTGTAGGTATTCAATATTTTTGAAACCCAGACATCAGTGCTCATAAGAGTTTAAAGCTGGTATTGAGTATTACTTTTACGTTAATGGTTGATAAAGCTTTTTTAGCCGCAGTCTTGATTAATTAAATTAATTTGTGTCTCAATTACTTGTATAACTCAAATATGTTTGCTTTTGATTAATGAACTGTTAAAAATTCAGATTTTTGGGTAAATCGATACACGATTTTACGTATAGTATATACATAAATAAAACTGGAATATATATGGATATGCATATGTGCATATGGATGTATTGAAAACTTAAAAGAAATATTTTTTATTGGAATTGTTACAAAATCTTCGCAAATTCAATGCAATTTTTAAGGACGATTTCTGGTATCTGGAGTTTTATGTATGGTCATGTCAGCTAACAATTGCAAACAGTTATGTTTGAGGTCAGCAACATTTTCTTTTTAATTATAATCAGCGTCATAAATCAAAAGCATACATTTATTCCTTTATGTTTACATACCAACAGAACTTATTACGTGTATGCGATAACTCTAATTTCAGAGTTTGTATAATTTGTTTGTGTCGCAGAAAAGTTATACGAAAAGTTATACTATGTGAGATCATTTTACAATATATTACGACTTTTTATTTAATTTAATTTCGTTTCATTTTAGTTAGTTAGGTAACCCTTTTATTATTTCATTTAATTTATTTAATTTAATTTTACTTTACTTTCTTAATAATTATTTCATGTCATGTGATTTTCTTTTATTTCACTTTACTTTATGTTAACTATTTTTTGTGTTTTTATTTCATTTACTTTATATTATATTATTTTATTTGATTTTATTTTACTTCATTTGACTTTACTTTGTTACTTTTTATACTATATTATTTTATTTTAACTATAGTTTTATTTCATCTTATTTTTGTCAATTTATTTTAATTTAATATAATATTATATTGTAGTGATCTCTACATACGTATTAATATACATATTTGTGTGTACAAAGATTTTGAATACATATATCGACTGCTGTAGCCACCAATAACGGGGCTGGGTTTTTATTGTATGTATGAGACATTAGACAATAATGGATAAATTGAAAACTTTCGTTAGATAATGATTTTTAAATAAATACCTCTTTTCGGATTTACGTTTATTAGATTTTTCGTACATCTGTTTTTTTGTTTAACTGTTTTGTAATTACTCATATAAGTCTTTTTCCTTTTCTCTTAAAAAGGTAAACTGTACTTAAATATTTCGTCTACAAAATTACACGAATAAAATCGTTCAGAAATCACTCGCTCTATCATTATAACAAGCATTCACATTACTTAAAATATTCTTACATATATACAATACACATTTTCTGTTAACAACTACATACATACAATATGATAAATAATTTATGTTATTTTAGACCACATTTTAAAATATGACTAATTGCCAATTTGTTCAGCCTATTTGTTTGAAATGAAAATTAATCAGAATACAATTTCTAACAGTAATAGGATTGAAGACAAAAAAAAAAAACATATATACTAATTATTTACAAGTTTTGGTATGAAGACCAAATGACTTTCGCTGATTTTCAGCCTTTTCGCAATTTTTGAATCGCGGAGTTTGCATTTATTTCATATTTGGAGATTTTTTACCATAACTGAATTTGGTTGATACTATTATAAAGTGTCATTTAATTTTATTTTTGTTATTTCTGGAAATTAAATTGTTTACCGTTGCTAATGTACAAAGTAACTGTGTGGAATAGTGCCTAAAGCGATCAAAATTATACGTAGCTCTTATTTTCCTTTTTAGGTTAGATGTGGTGAAGGTGTTTTGCTGGGAAAAATTGTTTTCTTTCACTGAAATAATAAAAACAATAATTTCTAAATAAGTCACGTTTATTTTATAATTAACTATTTTCAAATCCGAATCCGCTGAAATTTGAGTGATTGGTTAACAATGGCTGTGTCAAAATTATTTTAATTCTAAAAATAATTAAATAATAAACAATATTTATTAGGAACTTATAAAAAATTATATAAAAGATACGGTAAGTAGATTATCTGATTTCCAAGTAGCTCGCTTTTTGTCATTTCGTATGTTCGCTATTTGATGCCCTTAAGTAGCTGAAGAATAGACGAAAATATTTTTTTTCGACTGAAAAACCAGACTTATTAGACCAAAAATGTGAAAAAATTTAATTGCTTGAAATATTTATTTTTATATTTTTTGAGCTACAAATTTTTATTTTGGACTTCGAAACATATATTTTCTCTACATATTGGGGAAGATTTTGATATTTAGAAAAATGTTAGCTTTATTTTCGATCAAAAAAAGTTTTTCAACGGTAAAGACGAGATTTCGGTTTTTTTTTCAATTTTTGTCTGAAGTCCATCTATGTAGCGATGGCACCATTCCATTTATGAATAGTGAGAAATTTTTGTACAAAATCAAAGGTCAATAATTCAATTTTAACGAAAGCACAAGTACATACATACATACTTTTACTACATTTCTAAACACTAAGTATGCAAATGTTGCATCTACTTTCGTACAAAAAATAGTTTAGTGGAAAAATAATCAAGGCCGCACTCTTCCATTGGAGCTTAGGTATATTCACATCATAAATGTTTAGAAAACAAAACGATCTTTTTTCCATGTATTCGTTTTCGTTGTTATGGTAATTACTTCAACAAACCATTCCCATTTCCATTCCAAACATAGAGATAGAAAGAAAAATATTTCAGCGAAGAAAGAAACTAAATTTCGAATCATCAAATTGATATTTTTTTTTACACATGTGTTCATATATGTTTTGGGACATTTTTTTGTAATGAGAAATGCATAAAATGTTATGGACAAAAATAAGCGTAGGGGTTGGTTCTCTGTTTTTTTTACCATAGTTGAGATATTATTTACAACAAAATATATTTTTGGGTCACTTTTTTCTTTTTATTTGTTTGCATAACTCACCTTATTATATGGAAGACTCAGATAATACCCCAATTATTAATTTATAAACGAAAACCTGCTTAAAGAAAATTTCATTCGATGCATACCTTTTCAAGGGTAATTCGTCTGCAGAGTTTGTAAAATTTTGCTTTTCTTTCTTTGCGCAAACACTTCTTAATTTACAATTTCCAGTTTTCATGATTGGACATTTTATAAACTTAAGAAATGAATAAATTATCTCCGAAAATAAATTTTTTGACTTTGCAGAAAAAATGGAAATCATTATAAAATGTGCCAAAATTTATGATTTCTGAAATAGAAGTTACGCTAAAATTTGAACAAAGTGAATATGGTGATATTAAATAGCTAAGAGAGCATTCAAATTAAATTTAAATATAATTAAGAGAAGTCGCCTCTTTTTTTTTTAGATATTGCACTGATCTGGGTTCTAATCCATGTCTGCAGATCAAAATTAGTTAATTCAATTTTGATTAATAGCAAACAAATAATAATCAGAACATTGCCCAGAACTTTTCGGGGCAATGAATCGCTTCCTTTAAAGCCATAGACAACTCCCGTTTATTCTGGCTGCTGTTGGGCAGTAACAATTGTTACTGAATTTTACTGAACCGCGTTCGGTGAGGCAAAACGCCAGTAAGTTAATTAACGAAATAGCGGAAATTTGACTTTTAGTTCGGAGAGAAAGTTGCAAATTTGAGCTCAGGAAATTTCAGCCAGTAAAAATTAGCAAGTACAAAAAATAGCTGATTTGTGATCGTAAGACCGCTTTTTTGTCAACGAAACAAATATTATTTAAAAAGAAAATAATATTTATACTTCGATACGACTGAATTAAATAGTAAAGCTAACCTTTGCACGAAAATTAGTTGTAGTAGAGGGGAACCGATGCCCGCGGAGAATTGTAATATGTATATCCATATTTTTTGTACAATGTAAGCCGAACTTCCTTTAATTTACAAGAAAGCATTGGCGATCAAAAGAACCGAAAAAACATTATGAAGCAATGTTCCTGCTACGATCACTGTGACGTTAAGCTTTGGAAAGCGACGACGGGGCGAAAAATGAAATGTAAGTCGCATTTAAAAGGAAAAATATAGCTCTTACTTGGATTTCATTCAAAAAGTAATTTTCATATTTCAATCATCCTTCATGAAAATCTAAGCGACAAACCAACAATGATACATATCTTAGTCTTGTTCGGTAGAAACTCAGTAAACTTTTCTACCTTTGGGAGAGTAAAACTATTTACTTTCTCAATTTCGTTACTGGTTAATTCTTACTGACAGTTTCCATTTAACCGAGCTAATTTGTGTATTGGGTGAATTAAATCGAAAAGACATATTAAAGTGCAGAAATTTTTTTTACAAACTCAGCTGATGTTATACTTCAATGTATTCTCCGCCAAATTCCCACAATCTCGACGAATTGTTTAGTGTTTACAAATGCAAACGAATGAATGTACTTTGTATGTATGTATGCACACATGTCCTAAAGCTTTTCTTGTAGATTATTACGAATAATTTCTACTTTTTTATTGTTATAAAGTTAGATCAACAGTGTATAAGTATATATGTATGTATGTAGGTATATTGAACGTAATACATATACATGTATGTATGTAGGTTTGTACATTCGTATGTACGCATGTATAATAGAACAATGTAGTTAGATAGTTTTCATTTCGAGAAAGCCTTAAAATAGTCCGTTTTGGAAATGAAATCGTTAGAATTAATACTATTAGCGCTATTTATAAAGCTATGGCTATTATATAGACGTTCTCGTTTCCTGGTGAATTTATTGGTTGTTGCCGTGGACGTGGCGTTTGTGCATATGGCTGGTGATGATGGGCGTGTCTCTTGTAATTGTGTTGTTGTTGGCGAGCTTAGTGGCGAATCTTGTAAATTTGTTTCGACATCTTCGGTTATTGTAGTCTCCATGATGAGATGTAAAGCGTTCGGTATTCTTCGGCCGACATTCAAAGACAAATCCGAATTGTGATTGGCACCGTCAATTTGCCAATTTTCCGTTGATGGTGTGAGCGCTAGTGTTTTTGCAATCTTTGAAATGGGCGATATCAATGATAATGGTGTCGTTATTGTGGGCATCTCGATGTTGGCGATAGGCATGGAGCACTCATTTTCTTCTATTCAGCTGCCATATTTATTGGAACATGCGTAGCTATTAACTGCGGCAGATCCGTTCGATGACAAGTGAGTATCAGGCACTAAATGTGGAGTTCTACTAGATACAGGTGGCAAAATAGTAGGAGTGATTGGCCAATGGAATGTAGTAGATTCTTCAGAGGGAACACTTCTATGCAAAAATCAAGCAGTTTGATCACGATTAAAAAGGTTAATATACTGATTTGTTTAAAAATGATCAAAAGTTTACTGGAATTATGAGATTTAGAATATCCAATTAATTATACAATGAATCGCTCATATATGTATAACACTATTCATACCAGATAAATGTACAAATTGATTTACTACATTTACAGAAAAACTCTTTATGCGTATGAATATTTTCCTTTGGTATTGTAAATCAGACGAAAAACATAGATTTAGCATTACATATATCGGGAAATTCAATAGTTGTCTGAGACCTGAATATATGTAATTTATACATAAACAACATCAAGGAAATGTATACACGTATTTTCTACATTTTCAAAGTTTTTCTTTTAATCGGATTTTTAAGAATATAATATTCTACCAAAACTTAAATGGCTGTAAAAGCAAGAGAAGAGAACATTTTTCACATATATCCCTATCCGTTTTGTTCGTGAAAGAGTATTAGCCCGATTGGATGACTTTTTTAACCGATCAACTTCTACTAAATCTAATCTAAACTGTTGTACAATAATAAGACAAATATTGAATCATCATCATGTGAATAAAATTATCTGCAAAAATCCACAGTCACAGAAAGTAAAAAATTGTGAATTAAATTTAAACTCATTTTAAAGTAATTAATGAACGCTATTGAATAACCCTTTTACAACCATACATACATACTAGGTACATATATTGTGTGCCATTGTGTTTATGTATTTTTACTTTTGTAGAAATGATTTAAATCAAGTTTGACAAACTCGCTTAACTCGTCACTATTGATCACTCTTCGTCATAATGAATTGCTTAGCGTTTTTATTAAAATTTAACTGATAACCGATTTATTTATATTGAAAGCCAATATAAGGTATTCCATTCGACCACTGCGTTTCTTGAAATATATTTCTGCATGAAAGTGTAAAATTTTGTGGATGAGGAAAGGAAGGAAATCGCAGCAAGACAAATGCCAGGAGAGGCATTTGCATGTACGGATAATAAAAAATTTATGAACAAACCTTGAGTGCGGAAACATTATCGGCGAAGCGTTGAAAATTGGTTGTTGTGAAGGCAGCATTGTAGTGGCTGCAGCAGCTGGATGTAGATAATTTTTGCGTTGATCTAGACTCTGCTGGTGCTGCGTTAGACAACGGGTAATCACGTCCGGTAAGTTTTCCAAATGTTCCTGCCCAAAAAAACAAATCAAAAGTTATTTGTTTTTAAAGGGCAACTATATTTATATCACATATTTAGTTTACCTGTAGCGACTGAAGTTTATCTTCTAAGTTTGTTAGTCGCTCTTCAATGGAGTCTTGACGACTCGACATGTCCGAAATTATTTCATACACTGTATTCTGAGTCTGTATAAATACAAAGACATATGGTTAGCATTTACAAGAATATATATTAGAATGTATATATGTATTATAGAAGAAATACTCTAATTTTGAATAGTAAGTAAAATTTAAAAAATCGACACTTAGAGGCAAGTCGGGAACCTATAATTTTCTGATTACCGTAAAAAGAAAAACACTTAGAAAACTAGAATGTAGTATACTTATTGTTATATGATAATACGAGGTGTGTTCAAAAAATATCGCGAATTTTGTGTTTTTTCAAAAATTATTTATTTATTCAAGAATATCTATTTTGTCCCCTTCAAAGTAATCCCCATGAGATATTATACACTTGTGCCAACGGTTTTTCCGATCACTTCAAAAAATCATTTCTTTTTATCTTGTTCAGCTCCTCCTTCGATGCTGTCTTTATCTCGTTAATCGTAGCGTCATTTCATGGGCCTTTTCAGGTTTAGGAACAAGAAAAAGTCACAGAGGGCCTGATCTGGGGAATACGGTGGCTGCGGCATCATTAGTGTGTTTTTTTTTTTACCAAAATGTCGTGCACAAACAACGATGTATGAGCAGGGGCGTTATCGTGGTGCAAAAGCCAATTTTTGTTCTTCCACAAATCCGGGCGTTTCTGCCGGATTGCTTCGCGCAAATTGCGCATAATTTGCAGGTAATATTTCTTATTGACCGTTCTACCCTGTGGCAAGAACTTATGATGCACCACGCCCCTGCAATTAATTTCTTCGTCTGTTGTTGAAGTGCTCGGGCGTCCGGCACGCTCTTCGTCGTTCACATTTTCTCGGCCTTCTGAGAACATTTTATACCACCTATAAACGTTGCTTCGGTCTAAGGCAGCTTCTCCGTATGTCACGTCCAAATTTGATACAGGTTCCTTGATCCATGTTTTTGAATAGGTAAAAATCGCAGTCCATCCAAAACACGTGCAAGCAAAGCAGCTGTCAACAATTAAGTGAACATTCAAAACGGCTGAGCTTGTTGGCATAAGTGACAGACATGAGTACCAACATATCGCCACAAAAAAATCGAAATTCGATTATACGCAAACCGCGAAAATTCAAAATTCGCGATACCTTTTGAACACACCTCGTATATGTCATATAACATATTAACATTATTATAATTTAAGTTAATTTCTGGGACGAAAGATTTTTTAAATAGTCATTAAATAATGCTGCTGTGAGATAAGTGTGCAATTAAAAACCGAGTTTATTCATTATATTCGGCTATGCTATGTGCAGAGAGTATATAATGTGTGTTTGGCTAAAGGTCGAATGTAACAGCATAAAATATTAGAAATGGATATGGATATATGTATGTATAGTACATATATATATGTATACCAAACTACATTTATCTATGCCGGTCTGTTCGTCAGTCATTCCGTTCATCCGTGTACACTATAACTGCTTGCTCTTCACGTGGTGACACTGGCTTGAGCCGCTTTCATCCACGGAGGCAAACCCTGCAGAAATGGATTTCAGACTAATATCATGACTGTCTTCGAGTCATCGTGAAATCAGATATTGATACTCGTATTGTTTAGAGCGGCGTTAAATCTCCTTAATATTAAAACTCTCACCAATGACGATGACACCGCAGCTGTCGTTAATCTAGACGGGGGATCTCTATATCTAGCAACTCTGTACATGCCTTATGATGCAAATGACCCTCCTCGAGACATAGTACGTGACTTTGTGACGATTTTCAGTAATGAGATTATCTTGATATGGACCGTTTCTAACTGCCCACACATTCAATGGAGGCAGATCAAATATAACGACTAGCATCCAAGAGGAAGAACACAAACTTTCCTAAACAAAAATCGCGAGGATGTTATAGACACGACCTTATATAGTGACGGTCTAAATAATTACGACTGGAAAGTTACGAGCTGAAAAGTTCTAGAAGAGCACTCCTTCTCAGATCTTCGTTATATATAAATTCCAGTGGAACTATCTCCTACTTATTTACTCTACGTAAATTTTGGGGCTAAAAAGCCGCGGATTCCGAGTGTCCTCTCATGGAGAAGACATATCAACAAAACCATGAAGCTATCTGAAGAGTCGTACTGGGAAAAGTACAGCGAGAAGATGATATTATTCCTGCGAAAACAGAATAGTTATAGTAATAAAATATAAAGTATAATGATGGGTCTTGTTCTATTCACTGAAAGATATAAAGTACGGACAATAAACCCACCAATTTTAGGTGGGGTTGACCTAAGCATCGGAGTAGTTCTGGGCAGAAAGCCTCCATATCTTTGGATGTCTGGTGCCTTGCGTTAAATAGGGAAACATACGTTAATCTACTAAATAGAATTCAAAGATATTAGCATAAATGGTGCGCTTAGTTCCACGCCAAGCTTTGCCTGCAGCCCAACTTTTGCCTGCAACAATTAAACGTATATCGCTAAAAGGTCGAGAATACAGCAATAACTTCAATACCCGAATCGACATTGAGATATAAACTGATGGAATACAACTTTCTCTCTAAGGCTATCCGATCATTTTAGTGTATTCCAGTCATTAAGGAGGCAGCAAACTACATTGGGCGAACCTCATAAACAAAAACTTTTTTAATTTCAACGATAGTTAGGCGATTAAGCCGCTTGGCATGCTTATAACGATTTAAAAAATTGTGGTGGAATTTAGCTAATCTCTTCTAGAAATGGCCAAACAGAACAGATGATTTCTTATTTGGATTTCTGCTCACAGGGACATAGAGGAAAATTGTAAAGCAGACTAGATTGTCAGGCTAGAAACAACCAAGCAAATTCTTCCCAATGAAAAGCACTTTGGCCTGTATTTTGTGAAGACAAACTGTCTAAGCAGGTGGGGGAGAATGTTTGAAAAACGTGGCTCGTATCAAAACGTGGTCTTGTACCCAATGCAATAAGCAGGCATCTGATGCTTCGCAGGCGTCAATCGTATACCGCTGAAAGAAGCCGGGGGTGGAAAGACGCAAACAGATCAGATATCTGATCTGACTTTAAGAACGTAACACTTCGAGGACCCAACATCGACTCGGACCATTACCTGGTTGCAGCGAAGATACGCATGCGCCTCTGTGTATCGAAGAACGCCCGTCAAAAAACATAAGGAAAGTTCGACGTTGAAAAGCTGCAATCACAACAGACTGCCGAACGATTTTCTACTCGATTTGCACTCCTGCTCTCTGAGAGCATTCCTCAGCAACTCGGTATACGGGACCTGAGAGAGGGCATCACAAACTCCCTACGTACAGCTGCAAACGAATCTATTGGATGTCGTAAAGGTCGCAAAAACAGCTGGTACGATGAGGACTGCCGAGTCGTAATGGAGAGAAAACATACTGCCTACCTCGCAACCTTGCAAGACGCATCTGCAGACAAAAAAAGAAATAGGACGAGATGCGTGAGTATGAAGTGCTTGAGAAGCTGGCCGACAAGGTTAATGCTCGAAAATTCTACGAGAAGATGCGATGACTTACAGAAGGTTTCAAGAACGGAGCAGACTCTTGTACGACACAAAGAGGTGATCTAGCTACTGATGCCCAGGGTATATTGAATTTATGGAGGGAACACTTTTCCAACCTGCTGAATATTAGGGAAAATGGCGAATACGGAGATGGTGAACAAGAAACCCCAATCGATGACGATGGAAAAGACGTTCCATTACCTGACCATGAAGAAATTCGAATAGCAATCGCCCACTTAAAAAACAATAAATTGGCGGGAGCTGACGGCCTACCGGCAGAACTATTACAATATGGCGGTGAGGAGCTGACAAGGTGCATGCATCAGCTACTTTGCAGAATGTAGTCGGACGACAGCATGCCCGACGATTAGAATTTAAGTGTGCTCTGCTCAATCCTTAAAAAAGGGGACAGCCTGCGCCAATTACCGTGGGATAAACCTCCTTAATATCGCCTATAAGGTCCTGTAGAGCATATTGTGTGAAAGACTAAAGCCCACCGTAAACAAACTGATTAGACCTTATCTGTGTGGCTTCAGACCTGGTAAGTCAACCATTGACCAGATATTCACCATGCGACAAATCTTGGAAAATGCCCGTGAAAAGAGGATCGACACCCACCACCTCTTCGTCGATTTTAAAGCCGCGTTCGACAGCGCGAAAAGGAGCTGCCTTTATGCCGCTATGTCTGAATTTGGTATCCCCGCAAAACTTATACGACTGTGTAAGCTGACGCTAAACAATTGAAAAGAAAAGTCCTCTCCCGACGAACGAAAACCAAAACCTACAAGTCCCTCATTGTTCCCATCCTGCTATATGGTGCGGAAGTATGGACGATGACAACATCTGATGAATCGGCGTTAGGAGTTTTGCGTAAGATTTATGGTCCTTTGCGCATTGGCAACGGTGAATATCGCAGACGATGGAACGATGAGCTGTACGAGTTATGCGGCGGCATTGATATAGTTCAGCGAATCAAGAAGCAGCGGCTGCGCTGGCTAGATCATGTGGTCCGGATGGATGCGAATACTTTAGCTTTGAAAGTTTTCGATGCAGTACCCGCCTGTGGAAGCAGAAGAAGAGGAAGACCTCCACTCCGTTGGAAAGACTAGGTAGAGAAGGACCTGGCTGCACTTGGTTTTTCAAATTGGCGCCAAACCGTAAAAAGAAGAAACGAATGGTGCAATGTTGTTAAATCGGCTATAATCGCGTAAGCGATGTCTACGCCAGTAAAGTAAGTATAGTTATAGTTATTCCGATACGGATATTTCAACCATCTGAGTAGAGAGCCAGAAATACAATATATTGAGAAATATAAATTAGTTGACGAAGCTAATAATTCTCTTAAGAGCAAGCTATCTAATTCGATCTTAAGACCGTGCCAAATAACATCACTAATTACTGCCGATTGCTCACTGTAGGAAATATTTACCTTCAGTGCTCACATAGCAGCAAAAAAGAAAAGGCTATTGTGGCTGCCAAAATCGATTGAGGATATACATATAATTTGTAATTAACCCACTGAGCTTAAGGGCAAAGCATGACATATATGCCTTGCGAGATCACCGTTAAAATTATTTATATATGAAATATTTGGAAATACACTTACCTTAGCCATATCTGTTATTGTATTGGCGTTATCCATTAGTTTGCGTTGGTCCATTTTAACCTTTCGTAACCTGTTTAACAAGGGATGGTATAAAATTTACCATTAAGATAAATATTCGCAAAAGCTTTGTTAAAATAAAACGGATATGTTTACCGGATTACATTTTAATGAAAATCTACCATTACACTTAAGATGGACCCCCATAAAATTAATGACAATTACTTGCATTTAAATTATTGACAATAGATTTGTACTTATTTTATGGAATGTAGTTCTGCAGCTGATTAAACATTTCATTAATAGTATATAAACTACAGAACAATTTTTCTGGGAAGAAGTATATAAATAATTTCAAATGCAGTTTTTGAAACATTTGTGCTATTTACGGAGATATAATAGTTAACAAACTTCGGACAGGAAAGATGTCACCCATTAATTAGTTTTAAAGGGCGCGATACCATCAGCTCATACATATATTTCATATAAAAAGTAATATAAGAGATAATGAGTACTCTAAAAGACATTGAGCGGACAAAATTTGGCTGCAAACTAAAATTAACAAAATTTTCGTCTAATTACGACGACATACATATGTACGTAAAGAAAATTGTATATGTGGTTTTCCGAAATTTTCGGTCGAATTAAAATTGAGTTTTGAATACACACATACATACACATATGCAAAATATAAATAACAATTTTAAAAGATTTTTTTATTACAGAATTAAAATCTCTTAAGGTACATTGAATATGAAGTAATTCTATTGAAGATTAAATCAAGAACTTAAGGCTTTACTTAAAAAAGTTGCATGGCTTAATTTAATAAAGCTCATCTTAAACTCCCATATCCGCTAAACTTCGAAAATTAGTCCAAAATTAAAGTTTTTCTATGATATTTTAAATGTACATACGAGTATATGCATTCAACCACTTCGCTATAATACAAATATTACAGCTTTCTTAAATAAGTTTATACTTAGTAGTATTTACTTAATTATATATATATTCAGCGTAACTCACTTATAATCCAGTTAATAATTTTTTCTCTTTCCCTCCTTGAATCAATTGTAAGTATAGGCAGATGTATGTATTTATATGCAATGCACATTCCAAATACATACTCGTACATACATTTAATTGTACTCAAATTGAAACTTGCTGGGAAGAGCTTGTTGAAAAATACGTAGCGATAGGAATAAATTTCGTCGTTAAGATTGCAGAAAATCGTATCTCAATTTAATTTGTGACCACTAAAAATTGGGGTAATTTGCTAAAGTGTAGAATTATAGTTTGTTTAAATACGTGTCTTGACTTTTTTTATTGACGCCGTCGACTTTTCCTATTGAAGAAGAAGCAATGAGGAAGAAGAAGTAGAGACTTCTGCAATCTTAACACTAACGAAATCATGGATACTAATATTCAAAGTGAAAATTGGAGTTTACTTTTTGTGTAAGTCCACCAACAACACCGACAAGCTTACACAATTCTTGGGGCTAAAAAACGGTCGTGTGTAGAGAAATGCTCTTTCTTACGTGTAAATTATTTGGAAGCGTATGAAGGGAAGTGATCAGAATTAGCTTGAGATACGAGATTCTAAAAAATTAACGACTTGTTATAAATGATGTTGCCACTAATAACAGTTGACACACGTGTATCATGTAAAATGTTATTTTTTATATATACATATATAAACAGGGCTTTACAACCTAGTTACAGGCTAGTAAAACGAGTTTAACTGAGTACCTCTCTTCCATGAGCCTTTTTTGATTAGTGGAAATGACAATGTGATTGATTTACCCTAGAAATCCTGATGTGTGCCTTAAATATTGTACAATATACACACATATGTTCAAACGTACTTATGCCAGTGTGGATGTATCCACGAAATTTTGAGATAGGTGAGAATATTTGGGTTTCCAAATATACATACACACATATATACATGCATTGGATTGATGCGAAAATGTACATCAGTTATGTTCAGTTATGTTAGGTGCGTGTCCTTGGAAGACAATCTAATTTCGGAGTAGTATGTAAATGAAAAAATGGTTTTAACCCAAAGGTTGTTGTTAAACATGCACGTAAACAAACGCTTTTGGTTTGACATATTAGTGAAGGTTCGCTTGAGGTGATTATTAGGTGGGAGTAAATAATTTGCCAAGCAAAATTGTTATTATTACATAATATAAATTTGGCCAGTGCATAAAAATTGAGATGACACTGAGTTTGTTGAGGAATGTTGTCAGTATGTACAATGTTTAATTTTGAATAACTATTATGACTTTCACAGAGCACATTGCACATAACATTTGTGAGACGGATTTCTCTAGAATACTCACGCATATATAGCTAGAAGGAACTTTCTTTGGTGGGTTCTTACACGTCCGGGATTAACCCGTTTTACTAGTCTTGTATGTTTGTAAATGAGCCAAGTTTCACGAAGAACATTTGCCGCTGCATTTTTCAGCTAAAATTATGTTATAGGGAAGAGATGGAATAAATTTTGATTAAAAATTACTAAAATAAATAAGTATAGAAATGTGCTTGTTATCTAAATAAAATAAGACAATTAAATAAAAGTTACAAAATGAAATGCCTTATAACTTGTGCATACCAATTTGACTTTGAAATATACAGGGTTATCCATTTTTTGGTTTCAGAAACACAGGACTGTATTTAAACATTTATCAGACTTAAATGTGAAACCAAATATGTTTTGTTTTAGTTAAGAGTCACAAAAATGGTGATTAAAACATGAGAGAAGATTGTGGTGCACAACTACTCAAGCAATTGGTGAAATTTTAAAGTAATTTGAAGAAACTGAATCATCTACGTATATTTCAAGTCCTGTGTATCATCTTTTCAACTCAAAGTAAGTGAAATTGTAGTCCAACACCTGAGTTTTTCTATTTCCCGACGTTCGCAAGAGTTGGGCTCACGGCAAAGTATGTTGTAATTTGGACCCGGACTTACACCTACAACTAACGCCAATTTACAATTCATATCCCTTGTATGGTTCTTGAACAACAAGCAGTGGACGGCGATTTTCTTGACGATGTCTATGGCCTCGTTAACGAAAGATCCTGTTTATACGGATAAGGCTTAAACTCTTGAACACTTGAAAATCAACATTCGTCAAGTTATAGCAGAGATACCGTATAATATGTGCGAAACGGATCGAAGTTTGCAAAAATAATTTAATGCAAATGTATTTTATTTACTTATATTTTCCGCAAAATGGATAAACCTGCATATTCAGTGTATAGCAAAGTCATCTTTGTACATATTATAAAAGTACAATGGAGCTCAATTGCATTTTATTGCTAATGTCAAGTTCCTATTCACTTTACAAAACTTTTATCAGCAAATGTGATAAAAAAAACTTGAGAAAAAAGACTGCAATGTATGAGTTAATATCACAAAAATATTCTATGCTGCATATATAAATATATATATTTTGTATTTCTCACTTACTAGGTTCTCTTAAAGATTCAATTAGCATTACCAGATTTTCCGGTATTTAAACTGATATAAAACAAAATAAAAATAAACTAAAATAAAATTAAATATATAATAATTTAAATAATATCAAATTAAATAAAAACAAGTTAAATATAACAAAATTTAATTAGATAAAATAAAACTTTAAAAATTAAATATTCTTCGATTTTCGGCCGATATACAATATACATTTGTATATATTAAATAAAATGAAGGAAGTTAAACTTCAAAAAGTAAAATAAAATAAACGAAATAAAAGCTATTGTAATATAAAGTAAAATTAATTGAAATAAAACAAAAAAGATGAAATGCATACATAAAAAGAAAAAAAACATAAAAATAAAAAAATGCAATATATATATATATATATAAAACTACTAAATATTAAAGGGAATAAAACTTAGTTTCATAATAACAAATTAATAAAATAAAGCAATATATATAACATAAATAAAAATAATATGAAATAAAGAAATTAAATTAAACTAAAAAATACAATTGCATCAAACACATAAGCAATTTAAAGTTATTTTATAGTGCGTAAGTAGTTTGAAATTTTTTTTATATAAGTTATTGTATTCATAATCCTTTAAAAATACTTAAAACTTTGTTTGTACCCTTTTCGTTAATTGTGTGTCCATCATGAAGTTATGTACATGTTTTTCAGCACGAGTAAGTTCCAATTTTCTCGAGACAACGGCAACAAGTAAAGCGGTGCAACCTGCTCCCTGTAAAACAGTTCCAAATATTTAAATAATCCCATATAATGATTTTTTTAAATGTATCTCCTACATTATGATTTATTTTAAGGTTGTCACATACTAAAGAAAATATAATTGCAAACCGTCGAACAACGTGTATAGTAACCAGTGACCGTTATTTTTCCTTTAAATCTCAACCCCACGTTTACTTAATATATAACTAATGCTTGTTACGTAATGCTTAGATATTCGTATGTATATACTCGTACAAGACTCAATGATTTCTTATAGTATAAAAATTTGCTCAAATATGAATATGAAATATTCCGTTAGAAGATGGCGATAAATACATAGAAAGCAAGTCGAAAGTGTAGAGACCATAAGACTTAGTAAAGAGAATAATGCTGTAATTTTGCTTTAGTGGCGAGCAAATGATATTTATTTTTGAAGTTAATTAGAGCTTTGGAATGTTTCATCTGTGGATTTCGATACAAGAAATACAAAAGTTTACTTAAAAATAAATACGTCAAACTTAAAATAGTTTAAACTTCACTCCACTTCATATTCTGATTTATACTTTTACTTAATGCGTTTTGATTGTTAATATAATTATTTACATATAACTAATATATTATATTATATAAGTCATAAAGCGTATGCTTGGCTTAAAATACAAGATAAAAACTAGCTAGAACTCCTTAATTATTGAGAAAAAGCTTACAAATCGTTTCTGCAAAATTATAATTTGATATAAAATTCCTAAACTTTAAAGTTTTATTTACATATATAGTTCCGGTTCGTGTTATAAAATTTACTGTTTTAAATTGACGAGATTAAAGCTGAGTTTAACTAATTTATTTATAGGAATCTTATTTGAAATTTAATGAGGACAAAAACCATTACCTTTTTTTATTGTTTAATAAATAAATATTATAACCTTAATTCACCTTAAGATAACTGACAAATAGTATATTGCAAAATGGTAAACAGCTTCCGTTACTTGTTCAAATTTATTACTACATTATTGTTAGTAACAACCAAATTTTAAATCAATAGTTGTAATAAACGATTTTTATGGGACTAATTTCAAAAAAAATTCAATTCTATTTGAACAATAATCATAATTATAAAAAGGATTTAAGATTTTGATCGACCATTTTTGACAGGTTCGAGTATTTGGGCAACAAGCACTCGCATGAGCTTGAGTCATCAAAGTTTTTCTGAGCATTTTGAGCAAAATTCATAGTTTTTTTATTACTTTAAATTTATTTATGCAAAGTGCAAAAAGCATTGGCGCTTATGAAATTTTGACAAACAAAATTGAAATTTGAAATTTTTTTTACAACTTTTTGAGTAGTTGACTTATGAAGCATAGAGCGAGTACCGTGCTGCCGGGTATCCAGAGCTTTAATTATGAGCAATGCTCTCATGTTTATAAATTTATTTAAATTAAAGGTTTCAACGTTAATTTCGAAATTGGAAGTTAACTTGTTTGTAGAATATGCACAAACATAAATATGTGACTTAGCATGTGTAGCTATTGGAAGAAAATGTATTTACTTTCTAATATGTACCTACTGATAAGCCTAAATAAGAATTTTTTCATATGTATTTTCTAATTTTTCTTTTGATTTTTTTATATACATACGTCGCTGCAGCACTCACCATTATTCCTGTACTGACGGCAATACCGCGTCCACAGTACGTATTTGGTACAATATCACCAAAACCGACACTTAAAAATGTTATTGCTATCAGCCACATTGCATTCAAAAGATTTGCATGTTCTTCGTCATGAAACCTGTACGGGTTGTAGATACATACATACACATAAAAATGAATTGTTTCTGTATGCAACAGTGCGAAAAGTTCAAGCAAATATGAGAAAATACAATAACTTTTTAAGTTTACGTTTAATGTGAGGCAACTGCGTTCGTACGAGTATGCGTTAATGAATAGGTGCCAAAAGGTCACATACATATACATAATACATACTTTTACATGTATGTGAGTACATATGAATGCATGTATGTATACGTATACGAGCACATCTATTCATTGAGGTTTGCTCAATACTAAATTGCATTCTCAAATTACGAAAATTTGCATTTTTCGATGTTTCTTTCTTTCTCTAACGACTCTTGTGTGTTGTAAAAAATACAGCTGAATTCTGATAAAAATAATTTTTATTACATGTTGAATAAAAGACCATTTATAATTAATCAAAAATTTTATTTACATTTATTGAATGTTTTTAATTCGTGAAATTTAATTTAAATTTAACAGTTTTACACGCAGACATATGTATAAATGTATAGAGTATTCACACCTTTCTCCTTACTTGGCCGTTTCTTTAATTGGCAGTTGGTAAACAGCGCAAAATTTTTATCAACTGCCAAGTGTCTTAGTAAGGATCAGTGCGGAAATACCCACCAATGTGTATAAACACTGATGACGTTCGAACGAACATTTAATATTATTTACATACACTTATAAATATTTGTGATAACAGGTACGTTTTCACACACATTCACACACACTGAGAGCGGTGGCAATTTAAAATAATGTGATATTTACTAAATTAGAATCATAACCCAACACAATATATTTAATCCGAAAAATGTCATAAGATATCCATGTAAAAATTTATTGTACTTAACTTACTTATTTTGAATGAATATAAAAAAATATAAGAACTTTTAAATTATTTAACTTATATAACTATTTTTTATAATAGTTACATTTTAATTCATTAAATAAATGTAACGTTGTAATTGTTATCATTATTATTTTTATTTCGCTTTTACCTACCCGCTACCTTTTTTGGTATGAAAAATACAAGATTTTGTTTTAAGTAATGGACTAAATCTTAATTGAACTTTAAGTAAAGCTCATTCAGATAAAAATTAAATAAAAATTTAACAACTTCAACAACTCTTTTTAAAATGCCTACAGATTATCATCAGACCTTCTTATCGTTTTATAGTAAAAGTAAAGAAATGTATCTAAGAGAAGTTTTTTCAGGCGTTCTTCACGGTATTGCTTTGGGGCCTACACCGCATATATTATTTACTTTAGATCCCCAAAGAGTCGTTAGTCTATCAACCTTAGTTTGAATCCACTCCGAAATCCACTTTAGGCTCAACGATTAAACTCAATTTTTCGAATATGCGTGTTCCATTTTTTCTAAATGTTTTGTCAATTTCTTAAAAATTTTTCCAACAAAAAACGAAAACACCAATAATAAAATATTTGCTACTGAAACCCGCAGCAATGTTGGTGGTGGGAATGATGATTTTGGTAGAAGCAGAGAAATAAAGTTTCACTAGCTGTAAAGTCATTCCTAGATCATAGAATATATGATCTTTCAGTATCCATCATGATGTATTTTTAGCAAATAAAAATACCTTCATTTCGCCACTACGGAGTGTGAGAAAAGGTGATTTCCAAAACGCCAAAATACTTGCGAAGCCGCATCAAAACAACTCTGAATTCTATAAATTTGTCTTGCTACAATACTTTGCAGACTCTGATATTTTGGAATGTTTTTCGTGCAAATAAGTTGTTTTTCGGCGAAATGGCTAAAATAGGAAACAAATCAAAAAAATAAGTAATATATTGCTTAAAAATTTATGATAAAATAAAGCATCACAAACCTTAGCGATGTGCAGCTTGATTTTGTTTGCGCATCAATAACTTTACCGATACATTTTAGAACATGACACATCGTCAAAGTTTGCACAGTTGCATTTAGGAATGCCTTTCAACTGACGTTTTGAAACTCACCCGAACATTGAAAGAAGGTTTCGAGTTGCTTAAGCTAACTACTTACAACTACCAAATTGAACGTTAAAAATAGAAATGGTAACCGCTTGTATAGGAACATACATATAAATAGCAACGTTTACCAAAATAATTTCTTCTTTAGGCCTTTTAGTTACAAATATACATGTTTATATTATTATATTATATATTTATGCGTCATAAAATATAAATGGTAATATGTTAATATAATAAGTGTGTAATAAAATGCCATAACCAATTAAAACTAAAAAATTTAGATATACAAAAATGAGTATTTTTGTATGTATGTATTATACGTGTGTTAGTACCTATAAGCGTTAAACAACCAACCAACTCATATTTTTTCCCTCATAGTTTGTTAATACTTTGCCCCTAATTCATTACATGGGTAAGTATGTGTAAGCAACTGTGATTTATATACAAATACAAAGGTATGTATACATCTATATATATATATATTCTAATATCAATTAAAAACTACCAGACGCTTAGGTTGAGATTTATCGCATTTGCTTATATGTGTACGCACATTCAAAGTTATGTATCATCGCCGGAATGTAGCGTTCTTTTAGTTTTGGTATATTATTACTTTTCAGCGAAATACTTACCACCATGCCACAGGTAAGCGTTATACCACGTCCACAGTACGTGTTCGGCACAATATCGCCATAGCCCACACATAGGAACGTAATGGCAGTTAGCCACATGGAGTTTAGCAAATTCGCGTGCTCCTCATCATGGAATCTTTCGTTAGAGAATACGCGCAGTAGATTTCGTGGATAGTATTAGCGGTAGTAGTAGTAGTAGTAGTAGTAGTAGTAGTAACAATTATGGTAGTAGTGGTTGTTGGTGGGTGAAAAGTGACAAATAAACAGGTTTTTGAAAAACATGAAGATATATCATTTGGATGAAGTTCTAATTTCAATTCAAATTTGGGGTATGTATTAAGAAAAATGTAGTAAAGGCTACAAAAAAAAAAAAAAAAAAAAAAAAAAAAAAAAAAAATAACCAACTCAAAATATATAAAATATGCTAAGAAAGGCAAATACTATTATATGAATAATTTTAATTGTTTTTGAATTTAAAAAGCTGATCAGTAAAAAAACATATCTTGCATATGTTGATAGGTATGTATATATGTAAAGACATACATGCATACATATTCTTATACACAACTTACATTTGTATGTACAATGGGTAATGGGGTTTATATTTGTCTTAATAATAATTTATTTTATTAGTTTCTAATATATTATTTTATGCTGGTGCTTTCGTGTCGACGTATGTGTAAATATGTATGCAAATGTTCATATAATTACTAAAAGCGGAAGTTTTTTGGTATGAGTTGCACAATAACGAAAAGAAAACCTATTTGATATATATTTTTTATCATTTTAATATGTAAATGAAACAAAATCAAACTTTATTTATTGGCACATATTTAACGCTATTCGTGTTTAGTTTCGATAACTGTTATTTCAAAATGTGTTTCCTAAAGCAGGTTCAGCTACGCCAATGTAAATAATGTAGATGAGTTTTGATATCTGCTTGCTGAATATTTTCTTGAATATGCAACAATGAGCATGCTAAATTTTAAAGTCCAGAACATATGTATCTATGAATGCATTAATAAATCGAAAAACATTTGAACGAAAATTAAGCAGTTACATGATTACACGATAACAATTCTAAAAATTTAGCGCAGCAAAAATTCGAAATTACTAATACATGTTATTTACATCAACAATGATTTAAGGGTTAGCAAAAATGGTTTACATCATTACATTATGTTATTTAGCATACATATATGCTGCTCTTAATAACAATTATACTAAGATGCTTAGCTTATTTTGATCAAATAATAATGTTATATAGTATTAGCAAATAAAACAGTAACGTGTTAAAATACTCATAATAATGAGTAAAATAATTTGAAGTAAATACCTAAATCAGTGCTGTCCAAACTAGTGGCCCTTGGCCACATGTGCCCAAGCGACAAATTTCAGTGGCCAACTTTTTTATTTTTCAAATAATTTTAATTCTTTTTTGGAAAAAATTAGAATTTCCAAAAAAAAGTTAAAGTATTAACCGAATCGATTTCATCTTGACAGTAATAAGACAAGCAGTAGTTAGCCGTACGAGTATTGTCCGTTCATTTGTTGGCAGATCCTCAATACAATCAGAGCGTCATCATCGATTCAAATTGTTGACAGAAAAATTGAATTTGAAAATTGGTGACGTAATGTTCTTTAAAAGCATTCGCTTGCTAAGTTGTGGAAATACCTTGAATTGAATTTCTCATGAAACAACTCTTGAATGTAGAATTCAGTGAAGTATCGACACATCGACACATACTTGGAAAGGAAAACTATACTTTTTGGCCGATATTAAAAAACATCTGAACGAGTTGAATGTGAGGCTACAAGGTAAGAATAAATTCATTTGGGACTTGGCGAAAGATATTCAAGAATTCAAGTTGGAATTGGTCGCATTTAAAAACCAAATTAACGAAAATGATTTTGCTTTCTTCCTAGTGTTAGTCTCACACAAATCAATATAATGAAGAATTTTAAAATTTTCATTAAGTATATTGATATTTTGATTACTGCGTTCGATTCTGCATTTGAAGATTTCCAAAAGTTTCAGTTGGCATTCAAATTTCTCAAAAACCCATTTGTTTGTGATCCAAAAAGTCAGATCTTTTTGAAGCAAAGGAATCTTTTTTTTGGAATTTGATATTTCGTTGATAAATGAAGGAAGTGGCTTGCCAAATGAAACATGTACCAAAGTTTTTATGCTCCACATACGTTTGTAAAGCATCATTCTCAAGTCTCGCGCGACGTAAAAATACATACCGCAATGCAGTATCGCAACAAAATTTGGAATCCGAACTTCGTTGCGAACTAATCCAATCGAAGCCAGATTTTGATAAATTGAGAGAAAAAAAAGAATATCATCCGTCGCATTAATCTTAAATAAACAATCATTGTTTCGGTTAATTTTAACTCATAGAAAATTGAAAAATGTCATACGTCGCATTACCAATCGAAAATAAATGCAAAAACGGAATTTCGCCTTGTTTTCACTGTTTTTCTTAGGTTTTGGAAAAAGTGGCCATTGATTAGATCTAGATTTGTTGGTCACTTCTGTGGCGGGCGATAGGATCACGTATTAATTTCATGCCTGAAATACCGTTGGCGGAATTGACAAACTTTTCTCATAGTTTTAGATATGTTTTGGTCTGGGCAGATCGGTCGCTGCGTATGAAACCACGTGTTCTTGTCAGTTTTTTTCGATTTAGTGACTGTCTACTACTCGTTGGAAATAATTGCAAATATTAAATTTATTAGTGAACCAATTGTCTGCCGGGTCTGCTAGTACTATAACATAATGGGTTTTTAATAGAAGATTACATTTAATAGTAATTGAGAAAGATGTTTAGAGAACATTCTCATATCGATACTTATTAAAAAGTACATTATTTTGGTATTTCTGCAAGAGGGAAATTATGATTCCAAATATGAATTGAAGAATACTCACCAATATATTCAGTTGGGCTAACTTTTTTAACGGTATAATAACTAATTTTCTATAGGATTAATAGGTTCTCCATGAAATGAATGCCTACCATTTTAGAGAATCTTGAGCAACCATGCAAAATACTTGAAGCTTTTAACGCTTTCCATTTTTACTTGAAAAAATTTTTCGAGGTAAATTTATATTGTTTAAAGTCTTTAACACATTTACATACATCAATTTATTTAAATTACAAATTTTTAAACTCTTTTATGTTTTAAATATTTAATAATTTTTTCAAACATCGTAATCGACTTTTTACATTCGTCGTGATACCGGAAACGCCTTTTTCGCTATTGTTGTCGCCTAAATGTTCAAAGCTTCATTGCTGAGTAAACTTATTAATATGTGTTAATTATTATTTTAATCTACATAAATATGCATACATCTTGCTACTTATAGACGTTAAATATGTAGTATTTGTAAAACCCTTATGTTTATATTTTGCTGAAAACTGAAGAAATTAAGATGTTTTTCAATTATGTCGACAAAACTTTACTTAAATTTCCTATAATTTTCCGTTAATGAAAATAGTTGGGTTATAAAGAAGAAAACGTAAGTTATAAAAAAGTTGTTAACAAATTGATATAAAATTATATAAAATTGCATATAAATAATAAGAGAATGTCGGGCACGTGTTTTAGCTAAACTCCATTTCCACTTAATAACATTTAATTAAGCCTTGTATTCCTGATGGGACGGTTGGTTGGTTGTTTACTTTAAGAAGAATATATCTATCTGTACATATTTAGATTAGAAGATTAATATTTTACAAAACAAATCACTCTTGGAAGTCTGTTTAAAAAATATGTAGTTCATTCGTTAATATATATGTACGAATGGAATTTTATTTTCAAGTGTTTTTTAATATTTCCAATATGAAGAATAATTGTAATGAAAGAGATAGACAAAAAATCAAAATATAAGATGTGCATAACAAACAAACATACATATATGCATTATAATATATATATGGTGTGATGTAATTAAGTGTAATAAATATTGTATATGAAAAGTATAATTGCTATAAATAAACAAAAACATAATAAATCTCTAATCGCTAGAACTTAAACTTATTAATAATAAAAATAAACTAATATTATGATTATAACTTAATAATTTCAAATGGTAAATACTTTAAAAATTCAGAGCTTCTAACTTATTGTAATTTTCTCTACAACTTTTATTAAAATGATTGTCAAATAATTTTCTGTAAGTTTATAATTTTAAAAAAGCTAAAGTTCATTAGAACGATAATAACCTTACCTATTAAAATTACTAGAGGCTAAATAAAACTACAAATATATTTTTGCTAATCAAATAATGAATGGTCATAATTTTTATATTATCTGAAAATTGTAACAGTTAGTTATTCGTAAGCATTTCTCGTATGGAAACTATGCACAACTATATCAAATTTGAATTATCACACTAATACCTTAAGGCCCCGCTAAAAAACTGGTTTCGCCTAATAACAAAAAAAAACTCGGCGAAAATTGTAGCCATAGAATATTGACTTCCTCAAAGTGATTATACTAAAAGCCTCTTTTGAGGTAAAACTATTTATGAGGTAAAACTGTTTATTTTTTATATTCAGTTGTATCGTTTTTATTTGTCTTCTACTAAAACTTCTACTACCGAAAGGTTAATAAGAAATTCAAATGGTGTTGATTAAGATTTAGTTTCTTAAAAAAGTAAGTTATTAATTACATATATACCGATATAAATTTTACACATATAATTACATACATACTTTACGATTTACTTAAACCTACATTTACATGTTTGTAGTAACCTTTTAGAAACTATATTTGAATATTATGAATAAATATACATAATTAGATACTATTTATACACATACATATCAGATGCAATTTAGTATTTAGCGTACTCGTACGATTAGACGACAGTGTAGATTTCAATGAAAACACCAGAAACACAAGCAAAGCAGATTACAGTCACAAATATTTTGAACACACATACATACAAGTATAATAAGTAAATATCTAAAGTTAGTGGTTTATAGACATATGCATATGTATAAAAATAATAATATTATATTAAATAAAATTTAAATTGAAAATGTATTTTATTTGTATATATGTATATGTACATAAGGGTTTTTGAATGAAGTAAAATTGATAGAAGCGTTTTATTTATCGCTCAACATTTAACTACAAGTTTTTCGTTTAACTGTGTGTTTGCATTAAAAAAGTCCATTTGTTCACAACTGAATTCAAATCAACTTTTGAACTTTTCATTTACCATTAGAAGAATAATTACAAAGGCATAAAGTAAGTGTACCAAGTGAAAAAGTCATTGGCGGCTGAAATTGTGTGAGTGTGTGAGTTTAAATTATATAAAATCAAAAAATATATACTTATATGTTTATATTGATAGCCTACTTATCTTATTTATATAAAAAATATTAAATGTTGTCTTATTTTTTAAAGTGTTACTTATAAGATTATACATTTTTAATATGACCAAATTCAAAAAAATATTTTGTCTAGAAGCTGTTCGACTTATCAATATTTACACGAATATTTATTTATATATATACAGTATATCTGTAGTTTATTTAGCCATTGAAATTGCCATAATTACTTGTTCGGCCAAGCCGAAAATTCTATTTATTTTATGACCATAACAAATTTGTGGTATTTCGATGAATTTGGCGACAATGTTTATTTGTATGTACGTATGTAGAATACAAGATTTAATGCACTTAGATGTTTTTTGACAAAATTTTAAACCAAAATATCAAATCTTATCATCGGTCATGGTGATCCGACCTGGAGGATTTAATTGCACTAGTGCATTTTTGAACCAAGTTTGGCTGCAATATCCCAAAAACCGTGGGACTTGTTTGAGCCAAATAGATGGATAGACGGGCATGGCTAAATCAATTAAACTAATCACTTAAATACTTTGGGCCACACTCAATATATATAATTCTATAAGGCAGCCTTCCTTCGAAATATTTGACACTAAACAAGTTTGCTATAAATTGTTTGATCTTGCCACTTATAAAATTTCAACTTGGAGATTTTTTTTTACTTTTCACTTTTATTACTTTTGACTTCTAATCCTTTACTTCTTCTAAATAGTACTTCCATGAGCATAACGACCCGCGAAATAACCGGACGCTGTATTATTGGGAATCATGATAGAAGAATGAGGAGGAATCCGTACAACAGTACCCGTTATCGTTTTCTCATAAACTTTTTTTTTGATTGCGTATCACATCTTTTCATCTGTAGGCATCACCAAGTGATTTGAGCATTTGTAAACTAGGAGGAGGGCCATCAGTTATATTAAATTTAAATATTTTGGAAAAAGTAGCCGACTTAAACGACTTTCCCAAACACAAACAATTTTTAAAATAATATCCTGTCTGCTTACAAAATTTTGATCTGCATTCAAATTTTCTTGCATTCGACTTGAGATTTGTTGGGTCAATCTACTCCTTTTCTGATACTTTCTAACAACCTAAAAAAATAATAAAACAATCAAAAAAGGCATAGACCGATGAAGCCCACTAGCAGGAGTTGGAAAAAACAATGTAATACTTAATTTTTAACGTTTAAATATTTAAACAATACTAAAACACTCTACACAATTTTTATTTAAAAGTGATCGAAGATAGTACGAAAAAGACGAAACTTGTTTAATGTCAGTTAGCCATGAAGCCTACTGCAAAGAGAGAATGAAACTACCTTTAAATTATTGTATCATGGGCGTTACTAAGCTCTTGACTTTAGGGAAGTGAAGTTCGATTACAATTCGAAAGAGAAAATCTTTACTAAACTTTGTAATTAATAGCATGATACAAAAATTCCATAAGGTAGTTTCACTTCGAAATTTTCGACACTAAACGCATTTTCTGAGAAATGTTTGATCTTGCAACATAAAGAATTTTCAACTTTTTTTTTTCTATTATTTTGGGGTAACATTCTAAGCAGATGCTATGAATAAAAACATGTGTTTCAAGCCGTTTTTCTGAAGGCGGCAAAAGTAAGAAAAAGATTTATTAGATAGATAAATAATATAGAAAGAATTGGCATTTTTCATTTTTTTCGAATCTTATTCTTTTGATTTTCTCAACTCTATGCCAAAAGTCCGTGGTTTCGGGCTCTGGTTATAGGAACATCAAAGAAACTGCGGGGTCGATGAACTGACCAGTTAGGCATAATAATAACCCCGATAAACTCTGTAATAGATTTCTCGGAAATTTCTTCTTCGATTGCGTAGCATAGCTTGCATGCCGAGGCATCATTAATCTCCTGACCCTCGTAAATTATATTAACTGGTTTGAGCATCTATAAAGGTGAGAGGAAACTTCTTCGTAGAACCAAGATAGGTATCATCAAGAGAACATTGTTGCGTGATCGGACAAGCTGTTTAACTAACTGACTTTTATCAATACATTTGCCGGTTAGTTTGTATTCAAAAGTGTTTGGAAGTTTAATCGACTTCAAACGTAATTATAAGATTTTTACAATGAATTTGATATGCTCTAAAAAATCAGCAGTTATTAAAACAGTACCACGTTTGCTTACAAAATTTGCGTGTAAAATCTCTAAATATGTGGGTCTAATTTACATTCGAACGTTAATATAGCAAATGCAGGCCGCTCTTCATCTTCTTGAATTCAATCAAATTTTGCTCGGTGAATATCTTCCCTTTCTTGCTTTTTACTATATTTCTACTACAAAAGTCGTGAAAATCATACACACGATGAAGTTCACTATAAGGGTTTGGAAAATAGGTAATTTTTGAATATTTGAACATTTAAAAAATATATGACAATTTTCCTCATATTTTTTATTTAATAATGGCAGATTTTTTTTAAGAGAAGAAGGTAGCACGAAAAAGACGAAAGACGTTTAATGTCAGATAGTTATGAACTTGACTGCAAAGAGAGAATGAAACTACCTTTAAATTATTGTATCATGAGTTATTGTATTGAGACTTTTATTTATGCGAGGTTAATATATTTTGTATTTACGAATTTTATGATTATACGTTTTTTACATACACGTAGATACAAAAATAAGATCTTTATGTGGAGTTTGATCTGATATACAAAATTTTTGGTTTCGATAAAGTCGTATTCGCAAGAAGTTACAAAATTATGAAATATACAAGTACAGTTCCGCACACTAACAAAATAAGTGCCCAAATGTGATTTTGTTAAATTTTATTGAATAATATCAATCAGTCAATTAAGTAGTGAATGCATCCGCTAAACGAAACTTTTATGACAGTGGAGTGAAACCATTGTCCGCACACCTTGCAGGCTACTTTGAGGAATTGTAAGTTACTTTAATTAATTAGCGACAAAATGTTGTAAAGTAAGTTTTGCATAAATCTTCTTCCTCTCAGAGTCTATCAAAAAAACAAAACCATATTAGTGTCCCTGTGGTTCGATTACTTGGAAACATGTTACATTACAATTATTTTTGTATAATACAGTTACTAACTTTTATGGCATTGTTAAGTTAGTAATTGTGGCCAATTGGACAATTTTTTTGAAATACGTAAAAGCATAATACAATAAACGGTTAAAAAGAACGTGTTCAAATGTAACCGCTGTCATACAACTTGCTGGCTAATTCTTACTGAGTCGTCTTCGGTGAAAATTCAGTAAATTTCTTCCTTTGGGAGAGTAAAAAGTCTCACTCAATCAGTTTCGTTACTGGCTAATTCTTATTTGCACTTCTCACAGTAAGGGATTCGAAGTACTTCCCTGACTTAATATATTGTGAACGTGTCATTGTACGGCTGTAACTAATAAATTAAGTACTGATGCGCTAATCGGATAATCGTAACGTATTTACGTATATTTTTGTAATCTCAAAAATATTGCAGAAACCTGGCATGTACTCGTATAAGGTAGAGATATGTAAATTGTTATTTAAGTACGTACATATACATATATATTCAGTGTGAATGAATGTGTATTTTGGTACGTGTTTTCGCAAAACAAAAAATGCAAATCAACATAAAACGGGAAATATAAATAAATACATTTATGTATTTACAAATTTTGAAAAATTTAAAATTTTTACCTTTCACATTGCCGCAATGTCCAAGAGGCTATAATCCATAAGGATACCATGAAGACGAGTAATACCGTTCCCGGACATATTGTCATTAAAGTTTTTAAAACAAATCTGAAATTCAAGTACAAATAATTTATCTTATTAATAAATTTAACAAATAATCAAATGAAGGTAAAATGTGTGTATATAAACAAATGAGTTCTTTTAGCATTTCCATAACTAAATACGCCTACATCATCTAATAAGAAGATGAAACTTTATATTTTGTTAAAATAATTCACACCAACACATAATAATTTGGAGTGACAAATGTCATACCGAAAATGCACTGATGTCGAATTTATTACGTATCATTAGACTGCGTAAACATATGCAAAGCATAGGTATTAGGTCTAGAGAAACAGGAAGATTCTCATATTGTTTAAGTGCGAGACCGTATATAGAAGAAGACTAAAATCCCTAGATATCACCCAACCGGAGTGGAATAACTTAGGGTTTCTAAGGTCTCTAAGCTGAATCTTGGAAAAGATCCGTGAAAAGAGGATCGACACTCACCACCTCTTCGTCGATTTTAAAGTCGCCTTCGACAGCAGGAATAAGAGCTATGTCTGAATTTGGTATTCCCGCAAAACTTATACGGCTGTGTAAGCTGACGCTAGACAACATCAGAAGCGTAGTCAGAATTGGGAAGGACACCTCCGAGCAGTTCGGTACCAAACAAGGTTTCGTGTGATTTCTTCAATTTGATGCTGGAGAGATTAATAAGAGATGCAGAGCTGAATAGAGAAAGTACAATCTTCTAAAGAGTGTACAACTACTGGCGTACGCCGATTATATTGACATTATCGGCCTCAACAACCGCGCAGTTAGTTCTGCTTTCCCCAGGCTTGATAAAGAAGCGAAGCGAATTGGTCTGGTAGTGGACGAGGAGAAGAAGATCAAACAAACAGTCATCGCATTCGCGACCTGGCTGCCACGACACTGTTGACAGTCATAACTTTGAAGTCGTAGATAATTTCGTCTATCTAGGAACCAGCATTAACACCATCAATAACGCAAGACTTGAAATCCAGCGCAGAATCACTCTTCCCAACAGATATTTTAAACTGGCGCCAAACAGCAAAGAGAAGAAACGAATGGCGCAATCGGCTATAATCGCGTAAGCGATATCTACGCCAGTAAAGTAAGTAAGTAAGGTCTCTAGAATTGCACAGCGTATTGTAAATAAAAATCAGAGGGAGCAATAGACTACGGGATGCGGGAAATCCCGAATATAAAATATAAACGTTATATTCCTAGTATATAAAATCATTATCGGAATTTTGTTATATACAAATAAATTAGTTATATATCTCGGCGACTTACCTTGTATTAAAGTTAATTCGGTTGAGGGCTCCTATGCTTCGCGATGATGCGTCTGTAAATAATTTCGAATGAAGAAGCATGACTCGACATATTAAATATAGCCGAAGGAACATGGGTAATGATAATGCCACATCGTAAGGGACCGTTTCGGTGCCCATAGTTTTATTTTTATTCGCCAACTTTGTTGTCCATTGGAAATAATATTCACCAGGAATTGGATGAATTGCGCATATAAAAAGTTCTAAACTTATTTGACTAATTCGTTGCCATGTCATTGCGATCCGCCAATCGTCTGCACAATTATCTATCATGAACAACTGTGAATTTGATTTGGTTGCCATCAACGTGCCGTTGCACCATTTCATTATGGACGACAACCGAACAGCAGTAAGAATGTGAGAAAGGGAGAAAAGAAGAATTGGAAAATCTTTATTAATAATTTATTAATTGGAATTGTATTGATTTATTTATAGTGTGACAAACGAACTAACAAACAAACTAGCGATTGGGAAGTCACATTAAACACATTCACTATAAAGAAAAATTTACGAAATGAAAATAATCACTTTTATTACGTAATACGCTCTACCGAAAGCTTTAGCATTTGAATGAATGTATAAAGAAATAATTATTTCTGCACATTTCTATTTGTATACGAAGGCATCTACATACATATATAACATATGTACAATATATTAAATTTTTGCTTGCAATTTTATGAGCTTATTTACTTTTGTATCTATATATGTATTCACTTAATGCAAGTTAAAAAATTATATTTTTTTTAATGATAAACTAAGAAGCTCTTAGCAGTTTCCTAAATTAGCGGGTTTTAACGACACATATGAATTCAGAAAAATTGGACTTACGGGTGCTGGAAACAGTGTTTTTCTCATTTTTCTAAGCAATTAAATCGCTCAATCAAATTAATACGAATAAACAAATGAATACACATTTTTCTTTTAACCTTCTAAAAGTGAAATAAATTTGTGAACAATCCGACTTTCCCCTCCGGACATCATGATTGTATATCGTGGATGGAGCCTAACGTATTGGATATAGGTATCCCTCAAATACTGGTTACAAATACTATTGATCGGTGACTTGGAAAATAAATTTATTTTAATCGTCTCTGGATATCCGCCAAAACATAGATCAATAAATCGGATATTTCGTTATTACTGAGACCGTTAGGTTTTCTTAGATTGGCCTTATACCAATACATTTCTTGTTTATTATTAAATGCCAATTCCAATCTCTTGTAGTCTCCAGGAATGAACAAAGCATTTTTTAAAAAACACCTTTGGATTCTATGGAAAGATTCCTTACTCCGACAATATCATCTTCAGTGTTAGGTTTCTAATTATTAGGTGCTTTGGTTGTGCATTGTTTAATAGAGATAAGAATAAATAGATTTTATATGGTAACTCTGAAAACTCTAAGTTACGCCTTCCATTCAAAGAGAATCAGAAAAATATTGAGAAACTTCAATTCGAATTTCAGGCACAATAGTATGAATTTTTCCACATCCTTGTAAACAGTGAATATTTTAGACCCTTATGGGAGCGTTGAAAGGCTAAAATTGCAAAGAAGCATAGTTTCATTAAGACATTGCATCATCTGACAATACGGGGCACAACAATTCACACTAATAAATTGATAAGAAAAAATTAATTTTAGTAAAAAAAAAAACAGAAACCCCGTTACTGTGCCCTTTGGCCGCGTGTAAATTTTATTCCTGATGTTATCGATCTGTCAGTGGGGTACGAAATAGCGTTCACTGAAACTGGCGCCTATTTTGAGGCGTACATAAATTCATCTACCAAAGTTTCATTGAAATGTTAGGACACTAATTTTCAACTGAAAAACGCGTTTAACTTCTATACACCGGTTAATTTTAAATTAATGTTAACAGTAAATTGGAGGCTCATTTCAATCCAAAGAATTTGTTTTTTAAGAAGTGTTATTCACGGGATGTCTTCTGATGTTTTAATGTGAAAAACATAAAATGAAGCAAGTGTTAGCTTAATTTTTATCTCTTCTCTAATCTGTATTATTATTATGGATGTAGAGCCAGGAGAACTGAAGACTGCTGTAAAAACCATAAAACCTTAGTAGTGATAAACACACACATTTAGCTTGGGAAGTTGTTTCCAGTTGCAGTTCCCACAGCAATATTCACTTGTTTTGACCACACAGAAGTCCCATTGGAGATATTTCTTAAAACACGCTACTATTTAACCTAAGCTTTTCGTTTGATATTTAGTGCATTAGAAGAGGCAAGAGTAAATACGTAGCGTACAAAATGTGAATTATTTACATATACTCGCACACATAGGATTCAAAGTTGTATGAAAAAAAAATCTACGCGATAATCAAGAGCAAATTATTGTAATAAAAATCTAAAGCCAAATAGAAATATAAGAAAATTGCACAATCTTTACGAAGCGTTTAAAAAATAAGGAACATGGCAGCGAAATGTATTCACTTCATTAATCTACCTTGATTCACAAATAAAGCGACGAATCGATTTCTTCTGGATTTTGTAATAGAAAAACATACATGCAATCAGCTTTAAAAAGTCAGAACTTTGTGCTTCATAACAAAAAAATGATATCAAGAAAACTCAATCTTTAATATCAGTAGTTTTGTATGTATGCAAGTCCTCTTTATAACAGCGTATTTAATGTTTACAACTCTAATGTATACAAAGTGTTTATTTCGAAATATCTTAAAATAATTTACAGTTTTTAATTTAATAATTTTGTAAACCAAAAACAACGCACATATGTATGGAAATCACTTCAACCGACACCAAGAAACTGGCTCTTGAGAGAAATGCCAGATAGGAATATGTATGTAGGTATGTACATACATAAGTGCAATAAAACATGCGAATACAACTGCATACGTAAGACATATTCATGTATGATTTTCTATTATCAGCTTTAATTGGTTAAACAGAAAATATATTTTCATATTACTTTGTGGAATTTCTGCTTATTTAATTTTATTCACCCAAGTGATGTATAATTACTTGCCTTTGTAAATATTTATGAATTGATAATGCATAGGGACTACAACAAATCATATGAAGCATCAACTAAACTACCATCGAGAACTTACTCACAAATATTACAAAACTTTTATATTTACTTACTGAATTCTGCAAAGTATAATAAAAGGTCAGTATTAGAAATTTATAAAGGATTTACATTAAGTATGCATATGAAGGGTTTCTAAAAATTATACCATGGAATCGCTAATACGTATGTATGTACGAGTATGAGCTGGTAAATGGTTTACTCAATGAATTGTAAACATTTACATACATTAAATAAAAATGATTAAGTTCAATGGAAATGTTCCTACATTAACACCTTTCATATCCTGAGTTATAATACACGTGTATATTCAAAATTTTTCTAAATTTCACTAACCCATTAGATTATATAAAAATTAATTAAATATTCATTTATTGTCTAATATTCGTCTTTTTTAAAATTCTAATAAATAAATTAAAGAAATAATTTTTAATGGTTCTGCCGCTCATTATTTATCATACTTGGAATTCGTTCAATAAATACACTGGCGAACAAAATTTTGTTCACACGTGCTTTGTAATGATTTTTGTTTATGTAATGTACCCTCAATGCAAATCTATAATTATTTTTTTTAATCACATCCAGTTTTTTTTTGTAACACCCACATATTCATTTCCGATATTATATACGTTCGTTTCTCTGAATAACTCCATTTCGCCGACTGACTGTGTAAATAAATCTTGGGTGAAACTTCTATAAAGCCTAAACAACAATCTAGGCATTTACTATACCAATGACTTGGACGGAACCAAAGTAATTGATTGTTATGTTTGTTTCACTCAAACAAAGAACTTGAGAAATATATCATATCACTCAATCTATGAACCATCAACTTCAAAAACAAAGTGATTCCTACCATTTAGTACGGAACTTAATATGACTAAAAATAATGGCAATGTTTTGCGAATGTGTTTCCCAGATCTTTCTTGAAAAGCATAAATAGGAAAATTATAAGGATTTAATAAATAAACTTTTGATACCATATTAATATTTGGTGGCCCAAATACATTGATAATTTGATAAATGTGACAAAAAAGTTTAAATTTTTTGGACCAGAGATACTAAACGTGTGGTATGGAAAAGTTTGATATTGATTTTTTTATGTTGGTCGTTGGGATAAGGTTAAGGTTTGGTTGTAAATGGTTTTATTGTCCAGTTACTTAATTCAATCACTGCAATTTGACAGCTAATATTTGGTCAAGTAAAAGATTCGTTCGGTTGTTATGTAAGAGATGGCGTTATTGTCCATGATACTAGAGTTACGTGTCGCACCATGTCACTATACGGCGCTGAAAGCGTGTTTATTCGCGCTTAAAGTTTGTCTTTGACAGTATTTCGATTGATTGGCTCAGTACGTTGTCAGCGCTCGTCAAAAATGGACACCAGCTAAGATAAAATTCGCTATATTTTACAAATTTTCTACGATCAAGGCGAAAAAGCGGCTGAAACATTCAAAGCAATAAAAAAAAAATCAATAAAAATACCGAACGAACTTTTTACTTGGCCTAATATGTGTTACATATACGAGTATATAGTCGACATGACGCACGGAACTATTTTTTTTTACATTAACGTCAAGTCACTATGGGCAGGAGTTTGTTAAATGTTGAGGACTAAAGAAGTTCAGCTACAGAACAAAATTTCATCAGCTGATTTTAACCTGAAGTGAATAATTGTTTTCTTAATATGATTTGAAATCTGTTAATTGTGCTGAAATGAGGACAAGACATAAAAAGGGCAAGGAGTTAAAAAATGTTAAATTCTTTTTACATTAAATCTATTAAACAGGAAGTCAAAATATTTTATCCCTGGCTTAATAATATTTTAATATGTGAGCGGTGAAGTGATTTTCTACTGAGCTTCTCCTCCCATTTCTGGTGTGCGCCTGGTTGTTTTTCCAAAAATGGAGGGATCTACACTTTATTCCAAGGCGCCTCGGAAGGGCATTTAGACAGCAATTAAAAAAATTAACTCAATTTTTTATTTAAATTAACTTTCCACAATTTTTGGATGTCAACCGGACTAGGACGCAAACTCTACCATTATTATTTACCATTGTTAGAATTATTCGATAGATGTCATATATGCACCGTTTTGAACTATAATTCTTTGCTATTTTGAAGGTGATGTCATTGCACCTCTCTCATAGAACCCATTGTCCTTAATGACAAAAATGAGAATCCTTAAAGGCTTCTTTTGGGTGGTATAGAACCCACATCATTTGCCATAGACAGGAACAGAAACAAATCACATGTGCTCATACAGTACGGAGTTAAGTGGTCAATACTTCTTCCGATACCTTTTTGAGTACAAAATATCATATTCCTAACACCATTTAGAGTAAACCAATTGCGCTTATAGAACGCGAGCTAGAGCTTTATTGCAAAAAATATGAGTTACATTTTATTAAACCTAATAATAATAATGCTCTACCCATTTGCCAAAATAATCGAAATTGTAAGTAAATATATGAGTATGTAAGTTGAAATATAATAATATTTTTGATTACTACAAGCTTAAAATACCAAAATGAAAAAAGTTTTGAGGATAGAATATTCCAGGGATATGATACCAGTAGCGAAGATGACGAAGCAAAGGTAAAACTGAAAGTACGTAAATATATACTTTTTACAAAAAAATATAAACTGATTTCAGAATCCATGAAGTTTCTATATAAGCTCATTTTAATTTTAAACTAAAACCATTTATATAATAAAATGACAAGTTCATACTCATGTCTACCAAATTAGCTATCGTTTTGTTATATTCTAAAACTCGCATATATATTTTAGGAACAGTAACTTGTAACTACAATAGAAATAAATCAAGTGATACCAGTTATTTGGTGGATTGAACACAAGTTGCAGAATTTTCCAGACGTTATATATATCTAAAAATAAGTTGAACTATTTCTGAATGATGAATAATTATAATCAGTTTACAAGCTTTTGTTTATTACGCATACTTAAAAAAGTCATAGCAAAACTACAAACACCCATTTTTAAACGCTTAAAAAAATTTGAGCAAAACTATTTTTTAATGTAACAAAAATATTAAATCTGATTTTTAAAAAAAAAATCCTAGATTTTCACAGTCAACATATTTATACAATTGGATCTCAATGACATCTTATATTGAACATTATTTAGTGGCTGATTTAAATTCTGCCAAAAAGCGTATGTCTTTTTCAGGACTACCACTAATCGAGAAATCAAAAGCACTAGCGGGGTGAGAAAAATCAACTAATATTTATTTTGAAATAACAACTTTTTTTTTATTGTTTATAAGGAACAAATCATGAACTTTAACTGAATTTCGTATATACTTAGATCAGAACACTTTGCTCCGTTAAAATACAATTTACAAAATTTTCCTTCAGTTACTTTTTTATAGTTTCTAGGGCCCATCAATTTAGAGATCCATTGTATTTGTTTATTTCACAACTAAGTATTCATATATACGTTTCAGTGTGCGAGGTCTGTTCATAAGAAGAGGTGAGGTTTTTTTAAATTGGTACGCATATACTTATCACTACCATTGGCATTCTAAGCCGATTTGAATTAATAGGGTATTGTTGGCAACTCCAAAGGTTAACGCGTTTTTGCGTGCTCTTTGATTTTTAACTCTTGAAAAGAAATTAGTACCACTCAGGATTTATTGACGTCAACGGCGTCTTCCTCGAAAAGGTCATAACAGATGACGAAACATGAATAAACGGTTATGACGTCGAAACCAAAGCGGCCAGATGAGAAAAAACCGAATAATTAAAAATCGAGGAGCACACAAAAACGTTACTAACCTTTTCAGTTATCAACAACACAGACCGTGAAAATTCACCTTTTCTTTTGAACAGACCTCGTATTTGGTCGAAATAATTGTGTTGTTTCTGAATAAAAACGAAAATTCTGTGGGTGAAATAAGACCAATATTAAATTTGAGACAAAAATTATTTATACTCAAACTGTTCTGCGATAAGCAAAGTGAATTTAGCACAATCGTTCTTTCCAACAGAAAACAATTGTTTGATAGTTTTAAAATTATTATAAATTCAATTGGTTTTCCAGCTTGAGGTTGATATAAATGAAAAACATAATATCGTTTTACTATATATTTCAGCCACGCGCCAGTAAACGTCTTTAGCGCGAACTTTATCTCTAAAGAGCGTAAGAATCCACATTTTTTACAACATTTTCTAACAGCGCCACTTCGACGAAAAAGTTTTCTTTTGGGATTTTCAGGGAGTTTTTTGTTAACAAAAAGTTGGTCAAATGAATATTTTTGAATATCTACAGCTATATTCGGCTTCAACAAATATAATTAATACTTTTTCATGATTTTAACACAAATTTACTGTGCTTAATGAAAATTTATGGATAACATAAATTACTTTGATGAAAAACGTTATTGACTAAATGGTACTGAGCTTCATTTCGCTTTATTACGAACTCAGAAAAATAATCGAGGAATGTATTTACGAGAGTCTGCAATCTCGAATCGAGAAATTCGGTTACCTATAGTCTTTGATGATATTAGTTTACCCTGGTTACATACGTGTAGCCGAAATATATCGAAAAAATAATATAAATATTCAGGGGTGTTACATAATTAGATTATGGTCAGAATCCGAATTGAAACCGACATAATCTGCTTAAAAGGTTTCCGTTTAACTTTCGAGAATTCGGATCGATTTTTTTTTGTTACAGAAACCGATTTTTCGATTTAAGTGTCAAAATTATACCGAGCATTAATTTTTGAGAGAGTTGTGTGCAAACTTCTTTTCAAGCGGAAATGTCTTTAAACTAGTAACGCCGGGAAAATGAACCGTTCAAAAGTCTATAGAGCCGAGTTGGAGGAGGGCGCTAAGAAAATATTTGATTCATTCACTGCAAAGAATGCAGTGTTCCTGTGGGTTGGAGTTCAGGTGGGATAGACAGCCTATCTACAATATCTCGTAAGTTTGTTTCCAGCTGATTCGAAAATCGGTTTTGTTTATCTTGGAAAAAAAGCTAAATCTAGTCGTATTTATAACACCTTTTCAAACTGATATTGATTTTCCGATAAATAAGCCATTCAATGTTGGTTTCTGTAACAACCCTGATTGTGGTTTTCATTTACATTGACTTCATGCCGTCTAAAATTTGAATTTGAAGTACAAATTGGAGACCACTAATATGTTTAAAATTATGAAAAAACGTTAAAATTTTAACGTAAGTTAGCAACTAAAAATTTGAAACTTTTATATTGGTTTTCTTTATTATAACGTAAAATCAATGGGAACTCACGGCTATAAATAAAATTTGGATTTTTTGAAGATATCTCAATAAGACGAAGTTAAGCAGCAAGCGAATTTTCAATCTGATCTTTCTAAAACAACCCAACAACTGACTTTTTGGGATTACGGCATAGAAAAATGATTAAAACTGTATATAAATAGTAATTTACAGTATTTTATTCCAATATTCACGACAGTTTCATTTAAAATTTTAGAAATTTTTAGAAACAGGGCATTTCTAAACTTTTTTCCATTTAATTAATGTCCATTGTTTCCATAATTTCATTTGATAACGAGTAAACAAGAATAAAAGTGCAGATTGGTGACAAACAATAGTATGTATGCCTTATGTGCAAAAACATCTTTTTCATGCATGAATAACACAACTAAGAGGACAATGATGCTGAGGACGCTGATTGTAACATCTGAAAAGGAATTTAAATTTGCACTCACTCTCACCTGCACTTCCAAAGCATGGTAAGCTATAATAAGACCTAAAAGAATCACAGTCGAAACAGATATTAAGGTTTTTAACGCTGTCGAATAAAATGAAGCCTGAAAATATAGATTAAAATGATTGAAGTTAATTTTTGTAGCTGATTTGTAAAATACATTTGTATACATATTTGAAAAGAAAAATATAAAAAATTAATAGTTATACATTTTCAAAAAAATGTGTAATTGTATAATATTTGTAATAAGTTGAAATTGATCCACCAGAAAACAAATGTTTCAAAGTAAAGAGGCTTTTCACTAGTTTTTATACGAAACTTCAACTTATTTTAACGGTTGTATTACTTGTTTGTGTTTGAAAACAAGTGCGCAACACAACGTTCAGGAAATGTTTAAATAAATACTACTTAACACTCACCTTTGTATAAACACCAGCGCTGCTTAATTCATTTTCAATCACCATAACGATTATTCCGAACATGCCCATTACAAGAGCGTAATCACTAATGCGTTTCCGTTTCTCGAATAGAGCTTTTCGTTTACCTAGCCGGTATCCGACATTGGGTTTGTGTTTTGCTGAGATTGTCGAGGGCTTCCGTGATGTATTACCGCCGGTAAGAGCACGTTCCTCCATGTACCTGAAAATATTAACGAAAAAGAAACCAATTGGGTACTATGAAGTGCATAAGTCCTAAGAAAAAAATTTAAATTATTTTTATATGTAAATAAAAATAAATATACGTCTATTCATAATGAAATGAAAATAAATAAATTTTTAGCTAGGACATATGTATGTATATAAGATGTGTTGTTGCGCAGAAGTTGTTAAAATTTCTTTGCTAATTTTGCCTTCTATGCGAATCCTTTGGTGTTTATTTAATATCTTAAGTAACTCAGTCAAATGCAGTCTACTGAATACTCTAACAATTTCCTAATTCTTTCACGGGCGCAATAGCCGAGTGGCTCACATTGCGTACCGCTATTCGGGAAAAGTTTTAGAAAATTAATTTAAATAAAAAATTAAGCTAAATTTTCTAATTTAATTGCGGTCGCCCCTCGGCAGGGAATGTCACGCTCTCCGAGTGTATTTCTGACATGAAAAACTCATAAAACTTATCTGCCATTTGGAGGCGGTTGGTTAATATAAACTGTAGGTCTCTGCATTTGTTGAAAAAAATCAAGACGCAAAACCACAATATATATATGTATAATATATATATATATATATATTAATTGGTGCTTTGTGACCGCTTAAGCGATTTTCCGCCGAGCTCCTCCTCCAATTTATATATATATATATATATATAATATTACATTACTTTTAATTATTTATTGGCATTTCACATAAACTTCTGCTAATTCAGCCGTTGTTTTCTTTCCAAAAAAAAGTAAATAAAATAAATAAATATACTCAATGTGCCAATTTTCTTACTTAGTACAAATGTAAATAAATTTTTTTATTTTTTCAGTGGAAAAAAAGGTTTTGCAAAAAAATATGCTAGGTAAGCGATTTCCTCTCTTTGATTTATGTGGCGTTCTCATAATAGTTTTTCTATTCTCTTATATAAAGATTAAGTAACATTTCAGATCATTTTAAATATGTATAGACATTTATGAGTGTGTCTTTGTACTGGCCAGCGAGTGCGCTTGTGGTGATATCTACTAAAAATTATCCCTAAGTAAGACTTACGTTGGGCATGTTAGACGCCCGAAGTTATCGTAACTTTCATTAGTTTCACAGTTGTTCCATCATTGCATTGATAAGAGGGATTCTTAATAGACTCGCATAGAAGGCAGAATTATGGATTAATCTGTCGTATTCGTAAGTTTTACGAACATGATATTTTAAATATTTATTCACATATTTGCTGATTTCATAAAAAAAAAGTTATTGTACATATGAACTTAGCTTTTTACGCTTTCTTACGATAAATCCACAAAGCAATTTTGAAGTGATTTGAAATGACATACTTTCATATAGAATCGGCTTTTAAATAATGCCAATTATTTAGTAAAAGTTTTGACTGTTTCCAAGTTCAATGAATGAAAAAACTTAAAGAATTCATCCTGCGGTCAATAGCAATCAAATAGTGAAATAAAAAACAAATGTTTTTATTTTTGTAGCTTTTAACAATAATATTATTACTGATACTGTTATATCTGCTGTATACTATATATATGTATGCTTGTAAAAAACAGAGTTTGAAATCCAGAATTAAATTTTTTATTTTCTTAATTAATAAAACTTAAATATACCATTGATAATTGCTTCGAAAGCGAAAGTATCTAAATATGTGGGTATCTACACTGATTTTGTGGTTTTAGTAAACGTACGTCGATAATCTCTGAACACGATTATTTTCAAATTTCTTGGTAACTTGGCTGATATTACGCTAAATTAATTTCTAAACAAGGTAACCGACTCTCTAAAACTGCTATTTGGGAAAATACTACTTCCAACAATATAAGTCGCACTAGTTGAATAAGTCGTATCCGTTTGTAAACGGCTGATGAATTTGGATGAGCTTTTTATTTTATGCCCGAAATACATTTGGAAGGATTAACATTTCCTCCCACCGAAGTCTGTTCCCAAATAGAGTTTTTTTCTGTAATTATAGATTTTGGTCTGTTACGACTTGGTCCCATCGTCTCGATCTTGCATAGAATTAAAAGAAAACAGGTATGAATTTGTTTAATTTCATATCAATATATTAGTTTCATAGCTAGATATTTCAATATATTATATCCGAGTGGTAACAGGCAAACCGGAAATATAATTTTTTTTTTAGTTTCATCGTTACAGAGTTTCATAGTTGTCTCTTTTTTACTTTATGTTAAATCGTATCTTTAATACACCAATCAATCCAAACTTCATAGAAGTACTATCAATCTGGAGACAGCCAAAATTAACATATTGCATGTAAAATCTGAAAAAGGAACAACTCGAAAATGATCTAAAATATTTCATTTTTGTCAGTGATTTTATTGATCATGAAGATATTTTTTTTACTGAATGGATGCCGTAGCATTCGGTTCTCGAATATTGCAAAAAATATTAAAGTTTGCATAATTAAGTCTCTTTACCTACAAAATGTAACTAAAACGTTTATGGTTTTCAAAATAATTACAACTGAAAAAAAAAAAAAAATCAAAAAATTTAAATATTATTTTACAGTCACAATTTGATGTCAATAAAACTTTTGCAAGGTTTTTTCTCAAAAAAACTTTTCTTTGTAGTATTGATTACTATGATGTTTTTTGCTTCTCATAGCATTTCTTAATATTTCTAGTTGTGTAATTTTTCATGCTTGTTGTTTTATGTGAGATCGATGTGTACGAAAATGATACCCTTTCTATTGCATGCTATAAATCAGACCAGTTTTAGAAGTTTTATTCAATGACTAGCTAGAAACCATGGATTTTTCAATATTTCATTGCATGTAGCCCGTCCAACACGTAATAAATATATACATACGTATGTTTAAATGTAATAAGGAATATAAATTTTGTACATATAAATTATAAATTTCGTAAATAACTTCCACTTTGGTGCTTTTCTTCCTTTTATTTATTTTATATACAGAAAACTTGTTTTCATATTTTCGTACGTGCATGTATATAATACATATGTATATATTAAATGACGACAGTTGTAGACTTAATGGATATTTGCCAAAACGTCAGATATACAGTTATGTGGGATGTCGGATTTATAATATTAATACATAATATATGTACGTATAATCTAAGGTGAATATATACCAACAATATATACAAGGATGTATAGAAATGAAATTTGGAGCCAACTGTTGGCTCGGTTCCAAAAAATCTGTATAGTAGGATATTTCAAAACTGCACCGCTATAGCAGTTAATTGAAGCATTGTAATAGAATGAGTGATGTATTTATTAATAACATATTATTACGTTTGTATATGTAAGTATGAATGTATATAGAACAAACTTATTGAAAAGACAAATACATTTTTACATTCTATCACTTTTAAAGCAATTTTCTTGTGGAATGCGGCGATCTTCCCTGCTAGTGATATTTTGAAAATGCACGAAATGCATAAAGGCAAAAAGTTTGTGTCTTGGTAGATTTATACACATTCGTACGTACTTATGGAGTCATACTATTGTATTGTGTGTATACCAATCGGATTGTCCTCAAAGCGCTTCGATGTACAATACATGTTCAAAGTATTTTTTTATTTTTCTTAACGAATTCCGGTAGTTGTTCTGCGCAGAGCTAATATTTTTTAAAGAAAATTCTCTGCAATGAATGTTTTGCAATAAATGGCCGAAATTAAATTGGTTAACTTCAATATTTTTTTTGCAAGCTATTGAGACAAATACATATATGAAAAGTGTGTTATACGTGTATGTTATGCAATTGTTTGGACTGAGCTTTCTATTTCAAATGATAAGTTGCGACTTTAGACAACAAAAACACACATATATTTTTGAAAATATTTTTTTTTTTGAATCCAAATATCGAGCAAATCGGACAATAACTAAAATGTTTTTAATATGTTGCTTTACGGTACGTAAAGTTTTCCACATATTAACCTTCACAAATCGCTATCTTTGCTCCAAGTATCAACAAATAGGAATAATTCAACAACAGTAAAAAAGCTGTTTATATTATGTTCTATGTAATGAGTTTTCTATGGATGTGCCCATGTGCCGAAGCTCACGAAAGTGGGGAAAGTTTTTGATTTTCATTCTCCAGGGAGTGGTCATGGAAACTTAAATTCAATGAAAAATCAAAACAAGCTTGGGATAAAAGACCACCCATATGATGACGCCCTCTGCAAATGTTATAAGGATTACGATTCGAGAACGTGCACCTGGAATGTCCGGTCCCTTAATTGGGAAGGAGCTGTTGCCCATCTGGTTGATGTACTCATAAAATTAAAGGCTGACATCACCGCCTTCCAAGAGATGCGATGGGCGCGACAAGGGCGGAAAAAGGTGCGTTATTCTGAAATTTACAACAGCGACCATATAAAAGAGCACTAATTTAGTGGCGGATTCGTGGTGGGAGAGTGTCTCCGTCGCCGAGTACTGGAATTCACTCCGGTGAATGAACATTTTCTCACAATCCGAATCAAAACGTAAGTTTTTTAACACAACGCTGATTTGCGCCCACGCCCCGACGGAAGAGACGGAATGTGACCAAAGATGCCTTTTCCGTGCGCCTCTAACTCACTTATGAGCGCTGCTCCGGCTACGACGTCAACACCAAGGTGGGCAAAAAAGGTATTTTTGGAACAGCAGTCCGGAAATTCAGCCTCCACGATGAAACATCCCTAAATAGAGGAGGTACAATCTTCTATAACCGAAGCGAAGCAAATAGGTTTGGTAGTGAATGGGGGCAAGACGAAATATATCCTGTCATAAAAAAGATATTCATCGCATTCGTGACTCGGCTCCCATGCCACTATCTATCTAGTAACCAGTATTAACACCAAAAACAATGTCATACTAGAAATCCAACGCAGAATCACTCAGAATTCAGAGATGCTACTTTCGACTAAGCAGGCAATATAGAGTTAAAGTCCTCTCTCGGCGAACGGAAACTAAAAGCACTTCAGCTTTGAAAGTTGTCGATGCAGAACCCGCTGGTAGAAGCAGAGGAAGACGAAGACCTCCACTCCGTTGGAAGGATTAGGTGGAGATCTACCATACATTTTTTTCGAGAATATCGGACCCAGCTACACATCCTAGATATAAACGTTCTAGACTTACTGATTAAGGCAAACAGCTATATACACACATGCCCTCAGGTCCTTACGTTCAGTGGCTTAGGCCGTGGATTGATGAGTCAGTCAATCAAGCCCTATATACATACGAGTATATGTAATCCTTATATACATTTAAATTGTACCTTTGATTTTGTAATTTTTCATTAAGTATTTACCGAAATATGTATATCTAAATGTGTTATTAACGATTGTTTTATACAAATAATGAATAACTACAATATAATAGCTAAGTCTAAAGAATGAAGGGATTTTGGGTATACATACATTTCATACCTGGGGTAATCGGAGTGGATACCCACAAGCGCCTCGGCTGCTTCTTCGTTGCATCCGGATGAATTCTGTTCCCGATTCGCTATAGAAGGTGTTTTCATCGAGCCAGGAATTGAAAGAGTGGATGCTGGTTTGCGGAGCTATTTCGATCAATAATCATCGTCGGCGTTCCATAAAATAGGACATGCAATAGAAATCAAAATATATATGTATGTATATAGAAATCGTTTGATAATTTATTTCAAATTGCTTTTATTATGTTATATGTTTATACTCAACTATAACTATGTGTGTGCTTGTGTAAGTGCATTTTAAAAGGTAATTTTTTGCAATAATTGGGGTAATCGGACAATGATTAAACGAAATCAACTGACTTCAGTTTCGATGCATGAAAATTTATAAAAAATTGACTTTATTGAATTGATACCCATGGGGAAATACACGTATGGAAGCATTTTTTTTATTTCATATGCTTTTGTATGTGTAACTATAAAATTTGTTTAAAGTTCTATTTTTAATTATATTTATTTACATTATTATATCTGTTCGTCAAATCCCTACAGAGGATGAAGAAAGTTTAAACTGTCTTAAGTATAATAAAATACATCTTGCAACCGCATAATAGGTGTAATGAAAACAATGGGGCGTCAAGAATTTTTCCAAGAACAACACTTAGGCCTCGTCATAGCAACTAAAATTATTTACTATTTAAACGCGATCTGTAATTGTATTAGTCTGCACAACTAAAGAACAATGATTAATATTCACTATCAGCGCAGAAGACTATATTTATTATTATAGCAATTAAGTTAATGCTTTCTTTTCATTTATTCTATTGTCGAAAAAATTACTGAACCCTTACCCTTATACTATGTTCTTATGCATTATTGTAACGGAATAGTTGACACGCTTCCCCAATTTCTTTTACAAGGTGGACTTTTTGCTTTGGCAGTGAAAACTGATAAATTTTACGAATTCACGCGATATTCACGTACAAGATATGTAAAAAATGTTGCAATTTCAGTGATTGTGTTTTATTATGTAAATCAACTTCATTGCAAGCAAAAAAAAGCTTACGAAAAGTCTTCCTTTACCGCCGATGGATATAAAGTAGAGTCTCGAAAAAATTGATCGAAATTTTCCAATTTTTCGATAAATTTACATATCCAAGCGGTTTTGAAAATAGAAAATAACACAACAACAAATATGGATTTTAAGAATTTATTCAATGACTTAGTTTTCACCATTTTTTTGTAATAGTTCTGCACCCTTTTTTTGCGTATTTGACAAGTTCTACCACGTGATTTGCATCCTCTTGGTCTCCACACCACTTTATTAAGATATTGAAGATTTTAACTCCTTCTGAGAAACTGACTTTTATGTTGCCAACGTAAACATCACCCACCTGCGATATCAAAAATTGAATATCACGAAGTGATTCAGGCAACGGAATGTCGTTTTCACCACTTTCCACGCGTTTATAAGATCAAATTGTAGCAATTCATCCATCACTGCTTTAAGGATCAAAAGGGCATCACGGATTGTAAACAAGTATACACACACGAGAGTTTTACTTTTCGCGAGTTGACTTTTCCGCGATTCTATTACATTAAAAATTTGAATAGAATAAATAACAAACCAGTAAATTTTAATTTGGTCGTGATAAAACAAAAGTTAGTCAACTGTCTTGCGCCTAATTTACAAACAGCTAACATGCCAATGAAGAGCATAAGCTGTTTAGCCACTAAATCTAATCCTAAGATATCACTTCTGTTCGATGAGCCCGGAGCGGTGGACATTCCATGTCGAAGGGCGACCGCAATTAGAATCCGAATGGCAGTATGCAATGCTAACCACTCGGCTACCGCGTCCGGTGTGACAAAAACCCAGGAAAATTTTCACCGAGTGAAAGTAAATTTTGACATTCCGTTACTGGCTAATTCTTACTGACATTTCTCACCGAACAGAGCTATCATTTTCAAAGGTAATATGGAATCATCTGAATGCAGAGCTTGCCCAGAAGAAGCAGAATCCTTTGCGCATATCTTTCAAGCTCAAGATTAACCGAAATATATAATTAGATATAATTAGCCTTCATTCATTATGCCTTATATAAATTTAAAGACTGCTCATTTTTATTTCATTACAAGTTTTATTTAAAGACTTGACAAGGAAACCAATTGAACAATCTGTGGTGCTATTTCGCAAAGGGAAAATGTTTTTAAGTCGCTACGACGAGTAAACTTCCAAGAGATAGTTAGCTACAAACACTCTCTACACATATGTATGTACGTCTGTCGTCCATGCCTTAAAACCAAGAAGAAACGAAATTGCTTAATTCGGGAATCGACTTTGCGACGAGAATTGATGACTTTCATAAAACTCTTTAATTATTGCATTTATTTATTATATATGTATGTACATATGTATGCAATAATAAATTACTAAAATGTCAAATTGTCTCCGTCGACTATCAAAAGTTGGTTTTGATCGACTATAGATGGTTGAATTGTCATTTATATGGGTGGCTTTTGTTAAATAAAAAAATCAATCAGAGAATTCATCTATGTGCTATGTTAAGGCACTTTGAATAGAAAATTACTTTAAATAAAAAATTAGACTTAATTTTCTAATTGCGGTCGCCCCTCGGTTGGAAATGTCAATCCCTTCAAGAATATTTCTGAAATAAAGGCTCCTCATAAAAACCATCAGCCGCTCGGAGACGGCTTACAATAAATTTTAGGTCCCTCCATTTGTTGGAAAAAACATCAAGACGCGAAAACCACTAGTTGAATGAGGAGCTCGGCCGAAAATCGCTTCAGTGGTTACAAAGCCCCAATTATATTATATATAATAAATAAAATATTTAAATGAATTGGTGTAATTGTGGACTTACCTAAGCTGAGCTTTTTTTAAAAATTTCTCTTCTAAAGGTAAATATTTTTTCATCGGATTAACCGTATAATCATAATTTTGACAGAGTCAAGCATTCATTATGAAGTCACTTGAAGGACTTAACTTTGACAACAAATTGTCATCTAAATCAGTGCACTCGGAGCTATACTATAAAAAAGTATCTGATTTATTTGAAAGAACAATAATAAACGAACACCAAACTAATTCATAGAACCAAAAAAAATCGTTGTTTTACATAAAACTTTTGAAGGTCTTAAGAAACCGGTTAGGGACCTATAGAAAAAATAGTATTAAAATGATATGTTATACCGGGCTACGTAAGTCTGTGCGTGATGTTGTGCATAAACAGTTAGATACCTAATGGATAAAAGCCTCCTAAATCATACCAACCCTTATTTAATTATTAAATTTTGTGGGAGAGAGTTGGTTATGAAAAATTTCTGTAAGTATTTGCGATGTTACTTACGTGTGTGCGAGTATATAATATGTTTGTATGTATATATATATACTCGTACATATAAGTATAACAGCTATTTTAATATTAGCGTGACTCGTCGAGTAGTCTGGAGTTACTTTGTTGACTTGAGCCTTAACAAATAACACTCTCACTGGAGGTTGGACCTTTCAGCCCTTTTTTTTAATGAATTATTCACAAATAAGAAATGAACTATTAACACATTTCGGCAGGAGCTACATTTGACATATAAATTTAATAAGAACTAAAGTAAATTTATAGTTAGTTCAATTGATGACTACTTTTATTTGTAGCTAATATTTCGTACATAGATACATACATGTAAGTATACACGTAATAACACTAAGATTACCATGACATGCCATTTGTCATGTATGAGATGTAGCTATATATATACCATTTTAATTGGGGTATTTCATAAAAATAAGTGAGAAATACTTGCTATATATTTTGGTTAAATATAATTGGCGCTTTGTAACCGCTGAAGCGACTTTTGGCCGAGTTCTTGCTCAAACTTGTGGTATGTATTTTGATGTTTTTCAACGATTGCCTAAGAAATTTAAGAAATAAAGCTTTTAAAACTTAGTTGATGCAAGAATTGAAGTCACACGGCCTACCAAATGGCTAACTTCCCGCTGGCGAAGTATGATGAAGATTCTCTTTTTTATCAAAAAATTGTATTAATTGCCTAATGTCATTGCTGGCTAAATGGACTCGTGAGCGAACAAATTTGCAAATGCAAAATGTGGATTTTGGGTCGGTGGCAACATTGGGCGGTACTTTTTCAAACATTCCGAAGGCCGGAAAGTTACTATGAGTGGCGAATATTACCGTGCGATGGACTTGGCTAGCAAGTGGGGTCAACAAGGCTGGGTCACATGACACGCAGCATGTGAAACTGAGGCACAGTTGAGAGTGGACTTCAGTGAATGGTCACTTGGCTGCCTGTTGCTACAGTTAGCAACTGAAATTTCAAACGTACGTGTATAATTTACAAAAATTTAATATAGAGACCGTTCTTTGCGTATTTTCGTTATCATATTATATAGATATCAAATTTTATTATGAGCTCCTACAAACCGAACTCATTTTTAAGAAAAAGTATATTATTTCAAATAACAGATTTGTTCTTTTTTATGAATCGCATTGCTAATAATTTTTTGATCTCTTTCAACTTTTTTACAGTTTGGTCTTTGCATTTTTTTCGTTTCAAAATTTTCGGTAGACAAAAAAAGATTCATACAAATTGACTCACCCTAATTTAAATATTTTGTATAAAAAATTAATAACAATAAAGTCAGAGTTAACTGAGCGAAGTATAGTTACATATGAATATGTACTCTGTACTCAAACACGGCAACTCCGGAAACATCAAGGAAATTCAGCATATCCGTTACAGGCATAACACATATAAATAAATCCCAGGTAAATTATAATAATCAACGTATATGGAAACTACTGTCAATTAACACCTGCCGAAAAATGCTTAATTGATGGCTATGAAAAATGCGAAGCTTTCTTTGTAACTGCTGAAGGAATTTTAGGCCGAGCTGATGGATTTTTATAAAGAGCTTTCATTTCCCTGCCGAAGGGCGATCGCAATTGAAAACAAGTTTTTTGTAGTTTTGAATTTTGATTGAACCTAGCCTCTGGCCTTCAGAATAAACGGACTTTTCATCTGCCTGTTTAAATATAGTAATAATTTTTGACTTTTGAGTTGCTTGAAATCCTGTAAGCGCAGGTTTGCAA